AGGCCAACTTACGATCCCTTCCAGTATGCAGCAACCACTCTGAAACCCCCTCATCTTTACGTTCCATTCCTCCATACCCAGGCTCGGCAAACTAATCATGGAGACCACTTCCCACCTCATAGACTCTACAGTTATTTCTAAAGCACCCGCCCTAATCTCCTATCGAAGGCCAACTTACGATCCCTTCCAGTATGCAGCAACCACTCCGAAACCCCCTCACCTTTTCGTGCCATCCCTCCATACCCAGGCTCGGCAAACTAATCATGGAGACCACTTTCTACCTTGTATACTCTACAGTTATTTCTAAAGCACCCGCCCTAATCTCCTATCGAAGGCCAACTTACGATCCCTTCCAGTATGCAGCAAGCACTCCGAAACCCCCTCATCTTTAAGTTCCGTCCCTCCGTACCCAGGCTCGGCAAACTAATCATGAAAACCACTTTCCACCTCGTAGACTCTACAGTTATTTCTAAAGCACCCGCCCTAACTTCCTATCGAAGGCCAACTTACGATCCCTTCCAGTATGCAGCAACCAGACCACAAAGCCTCAGACTTTGCTCCCTGGTACCACGCCGTGCGGCTCTCCGACATGTCTTGCGTGCAAACACACCGGCCCTCCTTACAACCTGCCATTGAGAATTCCTCCGGCCCTTCAAAAGTGTCACAAATATTAGATAATGCTGCTCTCCAGCTAGTGAAGGCACATCTGAGATATCATAATGACCACTGTGCCCAGTTACGCCAAACGCTCACTGTCGCTAAGACTCCTCAAGTCCCTTGACTCATCTTTCGATTCACACTCATGCAAACTTGTTGAAAAAATTCTGGAAGTCAACTCATATCTCTATGCCGATGGTCTCACCTGTAAATCAAGGAAATTATACACACCCTTGCCCCGAAATGATGAGGCTGCCATCCAACGCATCGATGATGTCACCATACGAGACGATTTACCCCTCACTGCCCCTGAACACGTTATCTTATCGAAGGGCCTGTCCTTCGTCCCTGCACTTCAAAGCCGACCTTAGCCTTTTTTGTTTTTACATGTGGACAGCGAACAATTCTTCTGATGCCTACTTTTAGATGCCCACTTCACCCAGCATCCGTTTAACTTTAATCGCACCATGTTCGACACCATTAACCCAAAGACTACTATTCGGACCCCGCTTCCCGCCAAACACCCTGAAACTGACAGTTCAATCAAAGCATGTCGTAGCATCCTTGCCAACTCCTCTAGCAAACTAATCTCTAAATACCGCAACGCAACCCCACAAGAAGTTACCGCTCTAAACTCCCTTCGAAACCGCACCAACCTCGTAACCAAGCCAGCCGATAAGGGTGGAAACGTGGTGGTCTGCACTCTGTAACGCCTACCCCTCCCTCAAGTTTACCTCACCGATATCGAAATGCGCTGTCAACTTCCTAGACTTAAAAGTCACTAGCGACCGTCACAGGTTCCACACCTCTGTGCACTATAAACCCACTGACAGCCATAGCTACCTTCTTTACTCCTTGATCCATCCTAGATCCCAAATCAACTCTATTCCCTTCTCACAATTCCTTCGCCTCCATAAGATTTGCAGCGACGAAATCGATTTTCGTCTTTAAGACGATGACCGCCTTCTTTACTGAACGTAGTTACCCACTCGACCTTCTGCGCAATGCGAGCAGTTGCTTCTCCAACATTTCGTGGCACTGCTACTGCGACTCGCATCAATTCCGAGTGCTCTAGTGGGGCATGTCGGGCTGCTTCAACAACGAGCCGAAGCAGCTTCTATGGCTATGTGGCCTTTTCCTTTTCACTCTTGTCAGCTCAGCTGCACATTACTGCTTGTGCCGGCCCTTATACCACTGCTTCGTCGGCCTGTTCTGGTACTCGTGGCATCATCACTGACATTGCCTCTAGTCTCGGGTATCTTGGGGTCAACACCAGTGACAGCCTTGACGCTGGCTATTGGACTGTCATCGTCAGCCTCACACAATTATTTTATTGCTGCTTTTCTAGAAGGTACCTCACACAGGTTGCTTTCTGCGATACTTTTACACTGCACGTCTGAAAACAAATGAGGAGAATGTCACAAAAATGGCCACGGTTGCAAGAAGCTGCCACTTATTTAGAGACAGTGATCCCGGGAAGTTGTAGATTCCTCTGTAATGTAGCCAGCTCACTACTTTGCCTACTTCTATGGTGGCCCCCAGCAGCAGATGTTTTCTGGAACACGTAAATATCTCAAGTAGCAACTGTGCAGCAACTGTATTCGATGTATATATGCAATGCCTTATTAAACAATTTTTAGGATGTTTTGGAATAAAATTGTGCACCTATCATGTAAACACACGTAGCATATTTCGCTTTGAAACAGTATGGGATTATCCAACATCAAAGAAAGCTAGAAATAGAAACATTGAGAGACTGACTTCACGCAGCATTTCTTTTTATTTCTTTTTGGAGGATGTCAATGGGAATGTAAAAGCCGGTCAAAAGTCAGGGTGACGAATACCTACACTACGTTTATTAGAACAGGGCATTTACAAGATTTGTACAACTTAAAGAAAAGTAAACTCTTTTTGTCGTATTGCATTCTTCCCAGAATCTCTACTTCGCGGCAGCCAAGTAAAGATTCAGCCAACTTCGCAAGCTGTTGCCAGAGCAACAAACGCGAAATTTAAAGCGCTGCTAGGTGAAGTCAGCTAGTATGAACCACGACCAAGCGTCGTGCAATGAACTCGTTCGAGGTACGCAGTACTCGTTCGAGGTACGCAGTGCTGCGACGACCCACACACAAAACGAATACTAGGCGGCCGTCCGCTCCGCTAATTGTTTTGCGTGCTCCTGTTGGTTATGCCCACCGTTAAAGTTATATCTTACCCAAAAATGTTCCTTGAGGTTTCGGTATTGTGATGAAGCGCGATGTATATCTTGAGGAAACGGAGGGCTTCTAAAATTGCCCGTAGGCCGGTGCAGAACCCGCCGTTCCGCTTCTGCTACCGAAGACCATTCGAGGTGCTCGTCTCACATAGTTTGAGTACCGACGTCTCGCGGGACAGGTCGCCTTTTTTTGTCGGCAGGCGCTCCTTCCGATATCGTAAAAACGCGTAAATGAGGAGCGCATCGCAAGTGGAACCAACGAACCGAGAGCCGACTGAGGCGAGCACACGACAAGTTCAGCGGTTCAGACTTCAGAGCCATTAGGCCTACTGGGTAACTGGAGTCGTGAGTAGGTTAAACAATTAGGAACGTAAAGTGCGTGCGAATTACGCGTTAAAGAAATTATTTTCGTAATTAAGACGATGTAAAAATTGTTTCCGCAATATATGCATTCTTTTTTTTTAAACAATCCCGTAATATGTGTCGAGCGCTGCCATCGAGAGTACGCTTTGCGAGCCGTAAATGAGTTTGGGGAACACTGTTTACCCGAAATGGCATTTAGGTTAAATGCCATTTGAGTTGCCGTGTGGCAGTGCCTAAATGACATTTACACTGAATGTCATTTGGCGTAAATGCCATTTTAGCTGCCGTCTGACAGGGGTATTAGACATATGATATTAAATGCAGAGATGGTAATCTATTTGGGTTCTGGAAGTTACCATGGCAACAGAGTTCATCGCTCCACTAATTGATCTTTAATTTTGAAACAAGAGTGAATTGATATATGAAAAAAGCATGAATTGTCGAACTTGGACTTCGCCTCCTCAGTTGCGTCTGGTGGCGCCTTCAAATTTTGCCGCCTGTTGCCACCATAGAACAACACAAGGTCTCCCAAGTTTTCTTCTCATTTCTCTGTCCATTTTGTCAGGCAAGAGCACTGTAATGATTTCCATCACCGAGGGAGTCTTTTCCTACGTATTTTCTGCTGTATGGAAGCTTGTTATCTTTTTTATTGCTATTCTTTGTTTTTGCCTGGAATTGAGCTTTCTCAAATGTCTCGTATAGTAATGCTTGCGAAGTATTTGCAGTTTATATTCCTTGTTGCTCCGACTCATGGGCCGCATTTGTTGATATGCGCAAGCACCTGCCACGGCACGCATACGAGGTGAATGAGGTGTAGGTCCCGGAGAAAAGTGTACTTGCTCTACTTGCTTTCCCGAGGAGCTCTTGGGGGGAGGGGGATGGGGGGGGGGGGGGGGGTAAGGGGGGCCTTGAGTCCCCCCGTTGTCGGCACCTACGATCCTTTTGGTGTAAACATTACATGGAAAGAAGGTTAACATTTTAAAAGCCAAATTTCCACAATCGAAACAATGGCAAAACATACCTTATATCCTGTAACCCCCCCCCCCCCCCACAAAAAAAACAAAAAAACACTGCAATACATAATTAGAAACTTAGATTAGGAAAGCCTCATTACAGTTCCAGATTTGAAAATCAATAGGTTCCAAAATAAAATAGAAAAATTAATATAACCTTCACTTTCAGGCATGTGTAATTTTTAAGCTGCATTGTAACTGCTCATATTGAGTCACAAGCGATGCCACCTAACCACATCAAGTTGAAACTATGAAAAAACTTCACCAGTCACAAAAAGGTATTTACACAACGGGAAATCTGTATGAATGTTTGCATTAAACGGTTGCACAAGTTGGAGCAAGATCTATTATTTGCAGCTGAACTGGCGGATTAGAAAACGGCAGAGTTCCTTCTGTTGATAATTGTGAGTGTGGGCTTGTCTGTCATCTATGTATTTCTCTCCTCTATTCTAAACTCTTTGTGCGCAACTTTAACCATGTTTATTCCATACCAACTCGCCCAACTGGCCCCTTTCCTACTACTTCAACCTTGGCCTTCGTGTTTTTGTGCACTATATTTCATTTTCTTTAGCTAATAAACAAGCCTGCCATATTACTACATGCAGGTTCTCACCTAAAAATATTTGAAAACTGGAAATTATGCAAACATATATATTGCTCTTTTCATTCCCTTCGATGCGTGATCAATGTCCATTCTAACTTACAGTGGCATGCCGATGAAACAAGCTAGAAAGAGGGTCAAAATAAGAACTCACTTTGGATGAGGACGTACTGGTATCAGGACTTTCAATGCATTTTTGTACTTGGCTATGCCTTGGTTCACCTTGAATGTGTCGAATTCCAGGGAGTCTCTGAAAAGATGCAAGAAAAAAAAAGTTAACAAATCGCTGTATGAATTAAAACCAAACATTTTTCTCAATTAAAACAAAAGCTTCCCTTAGTGTAAAGAATTTTAATGTTCATAATTTTCGCAGCATTATCAATTGTAGTACCATTACATTTTTGTATCATTACTTCTCTTCCCTAGAATCGACTTGTCCAGATACTAACCCACACATAGTTTTTCTGCTTCCTACTGTCTTTGTTTTCTTTCTTCAAGCTTACACTCTTACACTTGCTCCCACCCCAAAGAGCTGTTCATTTCCGACAGTACCAAGATCGTCTCTTTAGGTAACATAGATAGCTTCAGCTGATAAATTGGAAACACTTGTTTTGCTTTCGTCAACAAAGCACCGAGGGTTCTCTCAGCCAATAGGTGAAAGGTCCAAGTCTTAGCTTGATCTAGAAGGGTCCATAGTACCGCAGCCAGCGGCATAGCCAGGAATTTTTTTCGGGGGAGGGGGCCTCCATGAGTGATTGTGGGGCTAGATCATTTTGGAGGAGGGCGGTTTAAGCCCCGGAACGCTTCCCCATCTACGCCACTGACTGCAGCAGTAGCTTCTTCTCCAAGAAGTGTGGTCGAAATTTGGTGCTCTCGCACCAATACCAGGTTGCTTAAAGGGATGCTGAACCGAAATTTGGATTCCCCAAAACACGCAGCAAAAACGTGCAACGGGATGCTACAAACACCAAAACATCACTCATACAGCGATATCTCGAACGGATGACCGTATTTTTTAAAAAAAGAGGCGCATTTGGCAGGAATGCTGACGTCATGTTTCTCCGAGAAGGAGAGGGAACGGCCTTGCGTGTTCTCCGCCTCGCGGCCTCGAGGGAGCGAAGCGAAGTGAGGAGGAAACTAGGTATCTTGACGTCACGCGCCTCGCCGGCCTGGTTCAATCTTGACTTCTTTTTCCGAAAATACGGCTGTCCATTAGAGATATCGCCTTACTAGTAGTGTTGTAGGGATTGTAGCGTCCCACCTACATCTCCAGCATTGTTTTTTTTAAATCCAAATTACGGTTCACCATCCCTTTAAGCTAAAGGGCCACTGACAACCCCAGCATCGATACTTTTTTTTTTATTGTCTCAAATACTCCGGTAGGATGTGATAGTAAGGCAGAAAAAGTTATCTAGTACATTAAAGAACCCGTCAAAAATCTGTCTACCCCCCCCCCCCCCCCCCCCCCAAGTCGGACTTCTCCTCACATCTTTATCGCAATAATGCAGACGGCAAAGGCTTTTTTTTTTTTAATTTGAAGTGCTACAAGTTGCACATTTGTAACAATGATAACAGACATTCATGAAGTACCATAAAATATTGGGCAAGTGCCCACTCAAAATTTAGAGATAATCGCGAAAAAAATGGGGGAGGGGCGCTTGTCCGGTCATCAATTTTACATATCAATGTAGTGTGCATATTTTCCCAGATCTTACAAATTTGTTGGGTATGGGCGGATGCGTGGTATTCTACGGTATGTTTTTTTATGATGATTATATACCCTTTATGCCACTGACTTTAGAGTACACAAACTTTGAGAAAAAAATTGCTGAGGGATCAAGAAGTTTGGGTCATCCCTCACGTCGCTCACCAAAGTCTGCAAGTCGCTGTTTTCCTCTTTATAGCTTTAGAAAGCGTTTCAGAGAGACTAGCTAAGTAGAGCACCGCTCCAAAAAGAAACTAACTTAAAAGTGACATGTCGTCAGCATGCAAAGGAAGGACACATGGCAGGCAAGCGCAAAGCGAAACAGGCGAGCAATTGACTGATTGGCAGGCGGAGTTTTGGAATACATGGGGCTCTATGGCACCAGAAACTGAAAACGGGCAAAAATTGGCTCCATTTTCCCATTGAAATTTCCAGAAAATCACTTAAAACTTTTGATTAAGTTATCGGATCGGGCTGAAACTTTGGCACCTGGTTGTGACCTCTAGCGCTACCTTCGGGCGGAGAATGAGTGTTCGGCGATGCCTAGTTTATTTTTGCGGTAAAAAAGAAACCCTGTAAATTTTCTTTCGTGACACCCTGTAGATATTGGAGTCGTCAGTAAACCTTTATTAATGGTGTGGGTGCACCAAAATGCAAGTACTCAGCAAGTTTGGACTGCTTGTGCAGGATTGTGAGGCATGCTTGCTCTTGAGCCTGGTGATATTGCATGATTTAAGCAAAACCCTGTTAAACCGTTCTTCTTTTTTTTTTTAAGCAATGGGGTTTGGGTCAGGTTAAACCCCTAACACAGGTAGGCTACATCCCGAATCATTGAAAGTGAAGCCTGGTGCCTTCCCAGAGGACTCCTGCCAGATCAGAAAACCATCCCCTGCAACTTCTTGGTCTCTGTCCACGACACAAGTGTAGAGGCCCGCATCTAACCCTACAAGGCCAGGTTACAGGCCCCATCGCTACAGTGATATGCTGGGCCAATTGGTGACCTCACCACGATGAAAAAACAGTCCTGCCCCTTTGAGCAATTTTTTTTTCTCATCAATCTCGTCACTAAGGCCCTAAATAAAAAAAGGTAACCGCATCTATTTATCTCCTCCAACACGCACAATTTTTTGCTGTGGTTGCTTTCTTGCATTTATTTGTTGTCATAATTGTCCAAAGATAGTAGGGGGCATTTACACACTGTTTAATCATAAGACAGGGGGCAGTTGAACACTAAAAGATGCACAAACAAATACACACAGACAAAAAGTGCATTGTCACAGTGCACTCTCTGGATTTGGATTGGATTAGCCACAAAGAAAAAACCCAGAGAAAGATGCTGAGAGCCACGAAGTTGTGCTTCTGGCATTACTTGATTGGGGTAATCGGCTCGTAGCCTCCGCTGCACCCAAAGCCATAGGTATTCCCCACTCCCACCCTCACTCTCCCCTCCTCCTCCTCCACACACACTTTTTTTATCTTTTTTTGTTCTCCCACAGATGCCAGTCATTATGATTGTCCCAAGATACAAGTGGCGCTCTTCAAAGGTTGTCGTTACTTTTCAGTATAGATAGGGTGACCATATTCCTCAAGGTCAAAAATGGGGCATCCCAGCGGGCGGGGGGGCAGGGGGGCAGGGGTTGTTTAAAGATTGAGGTTGGGAGAAAAAATTTAATGAAATAACTTAATTCTCTCGTTTCAAAACGTTACCATATTGCGGTAAGCCCTAGGGTCTAGGGAACAGTCACACTGCTTTGCGTCCTTCGTTAGTGTGGGCATATTTTGCCGACGACTGAAGTTCTAGGCAGGACTTTATCCTGCAAGACCCCGTTATAAAAGTCTGTGCACCTATATGAATAAAAAATAATGTCCCGAAAACGGGACATGATTCTTTAGTGGGACATAAAGACGGGACGGCAGAAGCGGACCTAAAAAATGGGACTGCCCTGGCCAAAACGGGACGTCTAGTCACCCTAAGTGGTCTTTTACTCATTGCCACTGAAGACTTTCCCACTCCTCTCCTGTTTTTGTCCTTTCAATAAATGCATTATCAATTCAATCATTACATTTTTTTCTTTATGATGTCAACCCAATTTAAGCCACTTCAATTACAGTCCTATTAGAATTAAAAAATTGTAACTTCTATGAGTTTTTTTTTTTTTTTTTTTTTTACAAATATTTTAGTTTTTATTTACAGTAAGATTTATGCACAGAAACAAAATCTTCTCAGATGGAGCCAATAGGAATGATGCCAAGGTCTTGGGAGAGGAAGGAGTGCAAAACTATGTGCGTCTATAATTAGGAAGGGGGGAGTCCTACGATGTAATACAGACGTCACGTTTGCATAACGTTAAATACCATCTCCTGCTACTTCTTTGTGTGGCACATATATATTGGCTTGAGCATGCAAAGAACTGGGCAAGTGAAGATTTAGATCTTGTTTGATCCAGTTCATAAGGTTTGTTTCACACCGAACTTAATGTAAACACGCATGCAGCATTTTATCCCGTCTTCTTACGTTGTCAGACTCCCTTTAGGTAATCATTAACCCCACTCGAAAGAGAGGAAAGGAAAATGTTGCGGAATTGTTTCGAAAAAAAAATGACGAGGTAAAGTGAGGTTACACAATTTTTGTCAAAAGTCCATTCGCGAAGTTATTACATTGATAAGAACATTGTCCGGACAGAACGAAGAGTCCACAATGTGAGCGTTAAGCTGCAAATGAATAATAATAAAATGAAATAAAATAAAACAGCGAGGACAATGCACGCAATAACCGAAAGGGAAACTCTTTTCAAGGCCACCCGACCACCCGCGACGGCCGGGTCCGTCGGAATGGTCGGTTTACAGGCTTTCACTTTAGAACGTAAACCAGACAAAGGCCACGAAGGCTGAATCGGAGTTTCCTCCCTCAACTTACGCGTTGGCCATGGTGCAGGTGTGGTTGGTGGGACCGTCCTCGTCGGCTTGCGCATAATCTTCCGATGTTCCGTACGGCAAAAACAGCGACCCGGTGGACATCCACTTGTGCATATCCGTCGGTGGCTTGACCGCTGCTTTCGGCATGGTTGTCGTGGTGGCTCGATGTAGCAGTCGAGTATCAAATATCGCGGACGCAACAAAATGGCAGCGAGTGGTTTCGACGAACGACGTTCGGCTGACTTCGCCGGCGCCAAACCGCAGCGTAATTCGAGGAGGGAATTTTCCTCACCGGAGCCGAAGGAGCACCGTCCCTTTCCAAAGAAGTTTCGATGATGACATGTTACAAGACAGAAACGGGACGATGTCGCCGAGCTTGGCTAGCATGGCTGTAAAGTTAAACAGTTTATCGCCTGGAATGTCGCCGGTAAGAAGATCTGCACGGTTGCATCGCACTCGCGACCGTAAAGCACAGAACAGGACCTCGCGCTGCACAGCAGCGGCCACGGCAGCAGGCAGTCGGCGCAAGCTCGTAAGCTCGCGCAGCTGACGGAGAATGGAAGAAAAACGGGCCGGCTTGGATTGGATTGTCTCCTTTAGTAACTCAAAACGATTTGTGCAATCTGCGTAAGCGCACTCTTTTTGTGCTTTTTGTAGCTACAAAACACTCAATACTTCATTTTTGTGGCTAATAAGATTATTTTAATGAATTTATTTTTTTAATAAAAGCTTGAAGAATGAAAACTTAAAAAGACCACACCAGTTTTGCTCGCTTACTGCAGAAAAACAAATCCAAGCCAATCCTATCAGTCGTCTGCTGCTGCTCCTGTTTGTTCATCCAAACCTCCGAACCACGACCAAACGATCCAAACTATCGATTTGGAGGTTCTGAAAGTCTAGACCAGTATAATTTTACCGTGTTGTCAAGCCCTCTAAATGTCGTCGGACAGCAGTTCTGACGAAGACGAGAAAAATCGTTTCCTCGAAGCTGCCGTCACTGCGAAGGACGTCTTCTCACGAAAGTCCGGAGAGGCTGGAACACGGGGGAGCTCTCAAAAGGCGGGCAATGCGAGGCCACTTGATATCTCCGAAGACTGCCAGAAATACCTCGCCAAGAGTTTGCAGAACACTTTGGACAGGTAAAAGAAACGTCGGGTCTTCTTCGAAGCGTGAGAATCGCGACGAATCATCTCCTTCGCAGGAAGCTCAAAGAAGTTCAAGTGGAGGCAGATTGCTACGAACCTGACAGCAGTTCAGGTGAGTACTATGTGCAGGTTGCTACATTCCTACGCGCTTAATATTTGTCTCCCTTTGACAATTCCTCTATTCCGCGTGTAGATATCTACGTCCATAATAACTTGACGGTAGTGTCTCTTCTCTCGGCAGTCGGGAAAATAATTTCCCTGAAATTCTACCAGCAGTCTTACATTGGCGGTGGCAATCAGTTTATCGAACGAAGTTTCATCGACAGATCGTTTCATCGACACGCGATGCTTCATCGACAGGTTGTTTCATCTACAGATCGCTTCATCGGCATCTCAGATTAGCAATTTTTTTTCTGTAATGAGCCCCCCCCCCCCCCCCCCCCCCCCCCCCCGACTCGCCGCGAAGCAGCATGTACGGGTGGGCAAGTTGGTTATTGTAATGGGCAGTCTCAGACTGTCGCCGCGAAGCGGCGTGAACGGGTAGGCCGGGTAGGTTAAGACGCGTCCCAGTGATACACGCGCGACGAAATCTCCCTACAGCGTGCAACTCGCGTAGCGAGTGTCGATGAAACGTTAGTGTCGAAGAAATGTGTGTCCATGAAACGTGTATCCACGAAAGGTTGTCCATGAAACATGTTTCCACGAAATGCTGGAAGAATAAGAAAGTTGGTATTTCTCCTGGCAGTTGTCACACGATTTCAGACAGCCAGTGGGAGTCGACTGCCGGTAGAATATCGGGGAAATTATTCTCCCGGCTGCCGGGAGAATAAACGCTGCCCAAATTAAATCGTTTTTTGAATTCAGACTCCCCCTGAGGTGATGGCAAAATCCGTTGAAGATTCTGAACCCCAAAATAATAATCCACCCTTCGCTGAAGTGGGCTAGATGCCAATCGTGCAGTGTTTTAACTTCAGCCACGGAGTCGTGGTTTCAAACTACGTTGGCAGACGGCGCAAGTGAAGGAGAGGAGATGAGGCGTGGTGAGAGGGAATGATCACGTATCAAGCTCCGCCCCCGCAGCTGCTCCTCGGTCTGAAACTGACGAGATCTCGGCCATGAATTCCTCAGTGCGTCTGGTAGTTGCTAGTCGTCAAAAATAATTTACCTGTCAAGGTATTTCCCCTTCCCTTTCTCGAAGGAAGTCCTTGTTCATAAAAGAACCGGTAATTGTTTGAAAGCCGTAGGAAAGGCAAGACACTCATTGCTACGAGTAGCAGATGCCGCCAACGTTGGACACCAGCAGAACGCCAGGCTCTGACACCACTGCACGAGTAGCCAACCACAATGTTGCTAGCTCCCATTCCAGGGAAGTTGGAAGGATAGTTGGTAGGTGCATAACCGTTTCCTTTCTGCCCACCGTCTGCCTCAAATCAGAGCAAGTGAGACCATTGTCTGCTCCTGGCACAGAGGGAACAGTGGTGTCAATGTCTGGCGTTAGGGTGCTGAACGTCAGTGTCATCTGCTAGTCGAAGCAGTGACCATCATACCCTTTCAACGCCTTTCCAAAATCCACTGGTTCTTCACAAATGAGAAAGGGGGCGGTAAATACCTCGAAGAATATGTTGTTTTTGTCGACTAACCCAACAAACGAGGAAATCACAGCCGAGATTTTATCTGCTGCGGACCGAGGAGGAGCTGAGGGAGTGGAGTTCCGTCGCACACGTGATCACTCTCGCCCACTGTGCCTCATCTGCTCTCCTTCACTTGCGTGCCACATACACTCAGACGGTGCATTGTCACGTGTCTTACCCCGACGTTCCGATTGCCTTACTACAGCCGTAGCGTCTGTCCATCACCAAATTAGTCACCGCCACCCAGCTCTACAGCTTTACCTAAAATGAATGACGACGGACAATTTGCTTGTTCTTTTTTAAGTTGTACTATTTGGTAGCAGCTCCATGACATAATATTAATAGCAACTTGTTCTGGAGCGAGGCAAGCAATGATCATGTTGTCAGTTTCTACATGCAGTTTGCTCACCTGATCTTTTAGGGAAAGTGAAGTGATGACATATTATGTTTTGTCCAGGAATCAAGCTTTTTTCAGATTCTTCCATAGAACTGAATGACGTCCAAGAGGACCGGCATGTTCAGTGCCCTCGTAAAAGACCCAAGCTTCCTCCAAAGTAAGTTGGGAGCAGATCTGACGCACGGGTGGGTTTGAACGAATGAGGACTCTACGCCATATCTGGAAAAAAAGTAAACAGTACACGGCAAATTCCAAAGGAATTTATTGGTGAATAGACATAGCAAGCTCAAATTTCTCTGGAATATGAGTGAGCCTTTTCTGACAAGAGACAGCACAGAAAATATGTAAGGATTGCGGGCACAGTAATCTGCAGAACCATTAAAATTTCAGGTAGCAACTAGCTGTTTCAAAAGTGGAAAAAAAGGGGGGCTTTTTTGTAGGGCAATGGTCGTTGAGGGCAAGACAAACATTGGCTATTCCCTGGCTTGCAAAACTTGTAAGTTCTTTTACACAAGAAGGCTTCCTACCAACAATGGTGTAGGTGTTACAGTTTGTTGAGCCATACTAGTACTTCGGGATGAGCAGTGTCCCATTGTTTTATTTTCGGACATTGAGTTGATGCTTGAAATTATGGCAGGATGATTGAACAAGTCTGACACACATTTCAAATTCCCTCTTGCTATGTCCAGTTACTAATATATTTTCAGTTTGTTTCACATTGTAAAGTTTCTTTTCCAGGTATACTGTTGTTTGGAGGGGGCAAATATAGTTTGCAATTGCCCTCTCTTTAACCCCCCCCCCCCCCCCCCCCCCCACACACACACATACACACTTTAGATTTCTTGTTTCCTTTGCAGGATATCTGATGACATGCTTGCAGCAGTAGCGGTGACACCCGACTGGGTGCTGAAACACTCAGGAATTGTAAAGCACAGCGATGATGCTACGAAGCGTAAGAAGTCCAAAAACACCTCGGACACTTGAAGTACAATAAAATGTGAAATGAACCAAGCTTGATCTTCCTCTATCATGTATAATGTTTTTTGCTTTAAACATTGCTATTGCTTAACTTTTACAATTGTAAAAACGATTGGTGTATTGCTGCCGACGTACCTAATAATGAGTGTATTTATTGTTTATCTTTCTCGGCACTTTCCAACTTCACTAAATATTCATCCAGCTAAGACAAAAATTAAAGTTGAGAATAGGGAACCATGCTGTATTCTGACTCAATGTGAACTTATCTCGGAGAAAACTAAACCCAAGTCGAGGGTCTCCAAACGTTTTGGCCACGGGGCCGGAAATTAGATAAAACAATATAAATGTGGAACAGGGGTTTCCCCGGGAATAGGAATTTTTTCCAATTTTTCCCGGGGGAAGGGAATAGAGGAGTAGTAGCGAATTAAGGGGGTACCTTCAGAAAAACAAGGGGGGGTAAACCCCCTTCCCCCCCCCTAGGGGGTGTGTAGGGAAATCACCAATGTGGAAATACTAAATAAATAAGCCTGAATAAGCATTTAGATACAGAAATTGAAACTAGAGTAAACATTAAAAGGAAATACAAGGTGGAAAAATACATATACTTTATTTTGAAGTGCAATATCTTACTATTTACGAGACTACAAAATAACTGTGACCCCGAGAACTCACCAGACATAAATCAAAGTGCATAGGAACTTAGGCATATGCACACAAGGCAGAAGACTAATGAAAATGGTAGATAAAATCACATCAGTGATAACTATGCACAATATAAAAGAGAATGCAATGGGATATTTTCATAGTTACGCAGACATGAAGGAGGGAACTATGAATAGGAATTCTGGTAATGACAATATACAAAAAATATGGCCAGATAATTGGCACTTTGTTGCAGTTTTCTATAGTCGGTGACAGGTCAAGAAGGAAGTGGAAGCTCCTACCGCCTCTTTCCACTTCGGCAGAGCCAACGCAGGAGAGGAGGTCGCCTCCCCTCCACCGTTCGCTTTGCTGAAGTGGAAAGAGGTCAGAGGAGCTCCATATCCTTCTTGACTTGTCACCGACTATAGACACGTGCAAATAGTAGATTTTGAGTTCGAAGCGAATTCGAAGTGGATAGTGGTTCTGGCCAAATATTTTTTAATCACATATCAATGTTTTTCTGAGCTTTTCACGACTGCACCATGCCTAAATGAAGACACATCTCAAATCGTAAAGGTTGTTCTCCAGCCTTCACTTGTCCATATCTAAGCTAAATTTATTCTAGCTATATTTATGAACTGACCTCAGAAAGTCCATTGCCTGCATGGAAATGGCAAATGATGCATTTGGCCAAAAATTAAACTTACAAGAGATGTCCAGCTATACCTAAGTAAGGAGATTTTTAATTCTCTTGCTAAATGAAAATATCCTTTATTACTTGGAATACATTTTAGCACTCAAAACACAAGGACAAGAATCAGACACCACAGTGCACTACTGATTTTATCACAATAAAATCACTTGTTAGTAGTGCACTGTGGTGTCTAATTCTCATCTTTGTGTTTTGAGCGCTAAAATGTATTCCAGGTTCCAAAACCAACTAGCCCAACAATCTACTCTACTGAAATCCTTTATTAAATCCCTAGAATTTGAGAAAATAAAAACAATACAATCTTGAATAATGAGCGTAGGTTGTCAGGACATCTCTGCCTAACTAACACTCTTACATAATAGCCAAAGCTTAATTTTGAAAATTTTACTTTAGTATAAACATCAACATTCACAAAGTTTCCATTTTGTTTTACATACACCATGCAAGCACATGCACCATCCCACTTCGAAAGTGGGCTTTACTTTTTCAAAGTGTTGATCATGGCGGGTTAGCCCCATTGAGTACATTTTTTACCAAGCACCTGCATCGGGTGTTACTTTTCCGCAGTGCACAGGTGCTCGATAAAAAGTGTGCTCAACACTTTGAAAAATATGAATATCAGAGATTTATCTCAAAGCGAATATTGAATAGAGTATTTAGAATGAAAACTACCAATTCGAAAATTAGAATATTTGCACACCAGTTTTCTCTTATTCTATCGTTTACTTTTAGTGCTTGTTGCAGCGGCAATGTTGAACGTAACTACAGCTTTTACTATGCCACCAAGACAGATATTTGGCTGTTAAATTTTTAATAGACCAGGCAAAGATGAAGCTTGGAGTTTCTCGTAGAAGCGTCACTATGCCTAAGGTGTACTCCAGCGACACTGCTCTATTTTCCATTTCGTATCCACGCTGCAATGCAATTGCAAATACAAAAAAAAAAAAAAAAGCTTGCAAAATGTAAAAATAGCAAGCTTACGGGGCTCCATCATTGATGTATAAGTAGACCGTCCGATTTCACTATGATATTGCTACACCACAGGATATAGCAGTCAGCAAAACTATTTAGCAAATGCACCACTCAATTCAAGTTTATGATGCAGTAATAATGGACCATTTTTTCTAAATTTAGCTCCAAGATTTTGTTCAACATCCTATTAGCAGAGCTCACACGTGATATCTAAAAGTCAAAAACCATGAATTAAAACAATGGCCCACAAAAATTGGTGCCCACGTCACAAATTACTAAGCAATCACCTACCCTAAAAGTTCTATAATCCGCATCTCTTTTATGATGAAGTATGCATGTCACAAGCCATATTGAAGTCAATCCAACGTAGTTTCACCTTCGGGAAGTGCGCAGCAATGCCCGGGGCACCTGGTGGTATGTTCAGTGCCAATTTCCCCCCCATGTCAAATAAACACACCTCGCATAAGATCAGCAACCCACGTCACTGTTCTAATTCCACATAACTACATGCTTTGCATACCATTACACCCAGTTGGGTGAGCCAAGCCTACTTGCCCTTCCTAGAATACAGTGAAGTTACTAGCAATCGTAACTCAAGCAAAGCTTGTCATGTAACGAGATATTTATTTAATGAAGGTGCGCAATGTGCATTTTTACTATATTCGAGCAAGCAAGACTGCCATAGCCTATGAAATGCCACAGAAAATGCTGCATCAGTTGCCAAGAGAAGAACATCCAGCCCAGTGAAGGTTTCAAGTTTTTATTACCCAATTTACACAATGCCATAGTATGCAGAGATATAAAGTAGTACATGCGTCCTAGCACACGAGGGGCGGTGGAAACAGGAAGGCAGATGAAGGAGCAATGACTACGTCCAGTTACCTCTCAGTCAGACGGACACAGACTGTCTCCAAAACAGAGAGAAACGCAAAATATCACTCCACAGACTTTGGTGCACACACTGTTCTCATGCCAATGGTGAAGACACAAAGACACACCACAAAAAGAGAAAAGAACGCACACAAACAAGTCCTTTCCTTACAACGCAACTGTCCAAAAACAACCACACGTTGGGGAAGAACCGAGAAAGTGGGCTTTCCCCAGCCCAAGGAATGGGTTGTCCCTCCGAGAAAAACAAGAAATGTCACCTGGCAGCAACATCTTCCAAGCACGGCCAACATGACCAAACCCCGCCCCTCTCCCGGAAAAGAAAAACACATAAAGTGTGTTTCTCCTCTCGGCCCAACCCGATGAAAGCGTGCCCGGACACCAGGCCGGTGACGCAAGCCAAATTGAAGAACAGGGCGGAATGTTAGCAAACTGAGCCAAGAGACTATTTTTCCCGCACGTTTTCAAAGAAACGACTGGTGTAAATTAATTCAAAATAGCCACAAAAAAAATCTTGCGTAAAACAATTACAGTATTGACGAGAAAACAAAACGAGCTAGAATTCCCCCTCGCCGTCGGCGACCAACCTCTCCCACTTTGCTCACCGACCCAGCTTCCAGACTTCAAAAATCGGAAGACAAGACGTGACAAGGAATGATCCGTTTCCCCAAAAAAATCATACCTACAATAAAAAAAATTAAAAAAAAACATTGGGGGAAGGCATCCACAACAGTAAAAATGAAAAAGGAACACATGCACGCACACACACACACACACGTCCACACACGGCACTGACTGTTCTCAAAAACGTTTACGGGAGCAGAGAAAGATGTGCACTACCAACTCAGGATCGAGCGAATGGAGGTCAACCGCTCCCATTGAAAGGAGTCTGCTACGGCAGAGACGACGGGGGGGAGGGGGCCAGAAAAAAAAAGAGTTGTGAGGATAAAGTGGGGCGACACGTAAAACAGGAGCTTCGGGGAACAGCCTGCGGGCATGTCTAGACAGAACGCCATCGTGTGAATGTCGCACATCCTACTGGTATTACTCCTGGCTCCAGAGAAACACCGGGGGTCAGCACCCCCTCCCCCGCCCGGTGCATGTGTCCGCGTGACAAACTGCCACCGCCCTGTACAGCGGCAGTGCAGAGGGGACAGGGGTTACTACGAATATTGCTTTCCTTTCGTGCCGCTGTAATGTTTCTTTTTTATCTTCTTCCCTGGTTACAGAGGGTTGGAATGTTTGTCCGCAAATAATCGGTCCCCAAAGGAAGGTGTTGCTCGTAAGCTTGCCAAAATCTGTCCCGAGTTCTTGCAACACCGACTCAAGTTAGTCACCTCGCGTTGCCCCTAAACAATTAAAACGGAAAAAGAAATCGAGAGAAAGAAAATATTCGGTCAACACAGGTGAACGGAGATTCGTTCAAAATGCAGTTGGCGCGAAACCCCGACGACACGTGTGGCTCCGCGATGCAATGGAAGAAAAAAAAAGGCAAGCAGCAAGTTCTTCGTGGATTACCTTCATTCGTTTTAAAACAACTGGCAAGTTGGCACACACAACGCTTCCCGCTTGTTTTCATGTCTTCTCACCCAACCTTTTGAGAGGTACAGAGAGGCAAACGAGGAATTTGCGCAAACGAGAGAACGGGGCCGAGTATGCTACTGCGACAACCGGGGGCGTGCACGACAGTTGAAACTGAGCCGCCGACAGACCCGACGCCCGAGCGACCCCGGGGGCGGAGGATTGGTCGTTTCGCGTTCTTCGATCGCTCGCACGACTGCGAGCTTCCTCGTTCTCCGTCCCCCCGGGGGGCAGTAAGTAAAACGCCGGGTGCAGAAAGTCCTTGCAGAGAGCAGAGCCGTGCAGGGAAGGGAGGTTGCGCAGCACAGTTGCTGGGGGAGAGGGCGGGGGGGGGACCACTGAAAAGTCTTTGTCCAAGGTGTGTGTGCTTTTTTTTTTTCCTGGTTTCCCTTTCAAAAAAGATTGCTGGAATTTAGATTACTAACAGACACTTACTAGCCGCAAGACAGATCGTCGTTCGGCCATTTCTTTCTTTCCCCGTCTTCTTGGAGCCTATGCGCGTCCTTACGAGACGTCTTGATCTTCCACGTCTTGCACTTGCTCTTTCTGCTCCCCCTCGCCTGAAAGGGAAAGGACGCAAGGGTGCAGTCAGCGCTCCGAGGTGGGAAAATTGCTTTCGTTTTGTAATTAAATTACATTACTCATTACTTTGCCTGGAATAGCTCAAATGTAAATTACATAACAATTACTTCTAAAAAGTAATGACATTATTTCAAATTACCTTTTTTATCTCACTATACAAAAATCAATTATTTTCTTGCTACAGATAATTTTAGTCACATATTAATTTTTCATCCACAAGCCACCGTATAAAGCCTGCCACACCAGGCTCAAGGCGTAGCAAAGCCCCCCCCCTTCCAATGCAGCAAAGTGCTTGGCGCACCGCTTACCCCACCCCCCGGGGTGGTGCTACGCTAAATGGTCACGCTGAGCCACGACATCAAACCAACAGCTCCAAACCATTGCCGAAACTTTCTCACACGGCCCTGCTACAGTGCTACCAGCATTAACGTTAGCAAGCGAAACACGCACGGGGTTACCGCTACAGCGCCAAGGATGTGTCTCCAACTGGTGCGTTTCGCGTCCCACTCCGCCCGTACAATGAAAGAGGTGTATGGGCGGCATAGAAATCTCCGACCGGCAGGAGACGCGTCCCGGGCAGGCGACTGAGCGAGAGACGCACCCTCTCCGTCGTGCTGCATGTCGGAGGTCCAGAGGGTGAGGTTGTCCCTGAGCAGCTGCATGATGAGGGTGGAGTCCTTGTAGCTCTCCTCGCTCAGGGTGTCCAACTCGGCGATGGCGTCGTCGAAGGCCGCCTTGGCCAGCCGACAGGCCCGGTCGGGTGAGTTGAGGATCTCGTAGTAGAACACCGAGAAGTTGAGGGCCAGGCCCAGCCGGATCGGGTGCGTCGGGGGCAGCTCCGTCATGGCAATGTCGCTGGCCGCCTTGTAGGCCACCAGGCTGTTCTCCGCCGCCTCCTTGCGGTCGTTGCCCGTGGCAAACTCCGCCAGGTAGCGGTGGTAGTCGCCCTTCCTGCAACGGAACACACCCGCGGGCGGGTGGGGCTCAAGAAAATGCCGTAGGGACCGCCCGCATCAGTAGCAACTCGAAAGGCTGAATGGAATTTGCGCCTCCGTGGTCGCCAACGAGACAAGAATGGCGGGTCAGCCCTCTCGCATGCCTGGCCTCCAGCACACACTCGTTCCTTTCTGCCGTGCTTTCGCCGTGCGCGCTGGCTCAAGGCTCAATGGTAGACGCCAAAGAATTGTCAAACGCAAGATGCTCGATGTGGAGCAACTGAAAGACCTCTCTCCCTGCAATTCTTATCCTGTCGGTGACTGTAGAAAAAACTTGCATGGCCTTGTTTTTTTATTTTTCCAGTTCAAAAACACTGGAGGTTTTAGGGTATCCCTCAATGTTCCAGACACTTTCTACACAAATAACTTCTTAGCATTGAGAGAAACTCTAAGTATCTCCGAGCGAACTACTGCGATTGCTGCGACCTTCGAAAGGTTGTGCCGAGAGCTTGTTGCACAAACCCTCCATCTGCAACACCTAATTTTGAAGCTGCTTGTGCCACGTGAAAACTCCCTCTTTACATACAAGATCGGCTCAACTCCATCCAGGTTAGGTAATATTGTGAACAGTTCAGCAATGCTTTGCAGACTATACTTACATGGCTCAGGTGTACCTAAGGCAAACAATTAAGGAAGAAAAAAAGCTCAGATAAGAATGTAGCCGATGCCACTTTGTGTAAAAAAAGGCAACAGAAGTAGAAAGAGAAAAGCATACCCAAGTGCTTTGGACTACTGCACTTTGTTCAAACTAATGTTGGCACGCCAGAGTAACGGGACAAGACACTTCCTTTAATACAAACCTCAAATTTGGGGGTTTCGCGTGCCAAACCAACAGAGGACATCTGGCACGCCCCAGCAAAGGTCCGTGAATTAATTTCAGTTCTGATCCCCTGGGGATCTTTAGACTAACAACCTGAATCTCGGTTACACGGAACTTTCTCCCCAATAAGTCTCAGCCGGAATGCGATCACCTCGGCCGGGATTCAAACCAGCCAATTGGAGATCTCTAGGCCAGCGCTTTGACTCGAAGTCACCGAGGCGGCTACACCAGAAGGTCATGTTACGGGGTCAGCACTCACATCTTGTAGTAGAAGACCTTTGACTCGCCAGTGGAGGCCGTTGGGATGAGGTGCTTGTCCAGAACGTCCAGGATGTCCTGACAGATCTCCCTGAGCTCAGCCTCCACCTGGTGGGAGCAAGACAACAGTCCACCTATTAAGCAATCGGATATCTCCTAGCAGTGCAGCTGATAGGAATCTGAACTTCATTCTTAATTGAGACGGGGGGCTCCCATCTTCCTCGGCTGTGTTTGTGCTTGCGCAATGAAGATTTGTGACGAGCACACTCTTTCACTATTCGATAAGGAAAAAGGATTTGCCCCCCAACAGTGCAGACACTCGCTGGGCTGCAAGTTGCGTATCAATGCATTGTGTGATCTGTGACAAGCAAGCACAACCCCTAAAAAAGCTCAAGTAACCAAGTCACGTTAGGTTGTCCCCTTTTTCAACTTTTTTTCAACATAATTTGGACGCTTTCTTTCTGAAATTCAGTAAACAGGCATACTTCAAGCACTGCAGCCATCCCATTCCCTTTCAAAGTTCTAATGTGAAGCACTCTAGAGGAGAGAAATAAGACTGCATGTTCAAAGGCAGAGAGAGGAGGGTACCTGTATCCGGTACTGGCGTATCATCTCGAGCCTGCCCTCCGAGCCCTTGTTCTCCTCCTTCTGCTCGATGGAGCTGATGATGCGCCACGAGGCACGCCGGGCCCCGATCACATTCTTGTAGGCCACAGAGAGCAGGTTGCGCTCCTCCACCGTCAGCTCCACGTCCAGGGACGCCACCCGCTTCATCGCCTCCACCATTTCTGAAATGCGCACGACGGTTCCCTTGGCACTCCGTCTTACACCGGTGGGCTTATTCCATTTACCTGCATCAGCTTACACCGGTGCACAGAAGTGCACGGCAGCGTGCTTCCAGTACATGTTTTAATATGGGCTGCACTGGTAAATCAACTACGACGGCAGGCATCCGGTGAAACTGAATCTGATGCACAAACTGTTGGCAGGCAAATCTAATGTGGCAGCAAGAGCTTAAAACCAAGCAAAAGGCATCTTCAGGCACAATTAAATAGGGTCTAACGCAACCTCCAGTTTAACTAGGTTCCAATACTGACAGTCTCAAGTAGAAAACACTCTGCTGAGTGCCTGTTGCTAACAGTAGCCATTACTAAACAAATTGTCACTTCGAGAACCGTAGTAAAGATAGTATGGCACCCTGCGAAGCGTAGCAAATCCCCCCTTTATGCGGTGAATAAAGACAATGTTTATGCGGTGAATAAAGAGGATGTTTCCAAAACTGTGTGAAGTAACAAATTCAGCAGGGAAGTGCAAAATGGCTCACTCTTGAAGAAAAAAAAATGAAAACTTGTTCTTTCTGCGGTATAATTGTTCAACACAAAGTACAGGGCACAGTTCAACATTAAGCCGGAACCGGGAGTTTTAAGTGTCCAAACTCTGCCTCAGTCTTGACAAACTCTGCTCTAACAAACAAGCTTACTCTAGTCATTAAAAAATCATTCCAACAAACCTGCTTTTTTTTTTTTCTTTGCAATGGTTTAGCTAGAGGTTGGCATTTTTGGTTGACCTTAGTCACCCTCACTGCCCCACTCACCAAGTTCTCACTCATGAACTCAAACTCTTCGAACTGATGAACAAACCGAACTCACTGAACTCACTCCCTCATCGAACTCACTCAGTAGTTCTCGCCCTCACCGTAGTTGCAGTACTGGCGCTCGTGTTACGTCACTTTTACATCTATGCCACAATCGCTGCAGTCTTCCATCGCCTGCAGTTACGTCACGAAGTGAAGAAATGTTTTGTCTTTTTGTATATTTTCCTTCGACTCCTTCCACGCGCCTTCCAAGGGCGTATCATTGCAAATTTCGTGAAGCAGTATTCTTCATGCTGTGCGCTGTTTGTTTCAAACATTCGCGACAACTTTGCGGAAGTATGAAGTGAGCGTGTGCATCGTTGTTTATACAGGTGTGAATTGATATTATTCCAACACATACCACCGTGGGTGTGTTTCTTTTTTTTCTTCTGCATAGTATATTGCAAACTTTGCGTTAATGTTAGGACGGTTTGCTCAGCAATTCATTGGAGAGCATAACTATTTCGAAACGGTCTCTTTGTAACTATCGTCGTTCCCACAAATTATTTCACCTAAAAAAACTTTGTGGTGGACGTTTTTTTTTTTGTTTGTTTTCTGAAAGAAGGAATAAGTGAACAATTTTATATGTACCATATTATTGTATATTAATTTTTTTTTTATTGCGTCTTGTTTTCAATTGCATTGCACATATCAATTAAAACTGGAACAAAGTAATCTACCGATTCTGTGCCTAGCAAAATTCTATACTTCATGGATCCTGACACAAAATCGTCACCGGTGTCAGATGTCTTCGGTATTCTTGTGGCTTAATGTGTGCCAGTGTTCAAACTTGTCAATATGTTGAATACAAAAACTACATGTAAGAAGTTGTGTTTTCTATTAAAATCATTTATTAGTTTTGGATGGATGGTAATTTTTAATTTGTCTTCACTAATTTGAATGAATACACGGCCTACTGATGTAAGTGCAAGTTCTTTTAGCTTTGATTTTTAAATCACCCAATTCCTAATTTACCTCATTCAAATTACCTAATTCAAATATCCACACTATATATTAGGAGAGGGAAAGGTGCGGTCATGGAACTTCATTAAACGGTCTACAATACTTCAATATTGTGCTAGATACGAAAAATTGGGACACTTAATTTCTTAGTGCGGGGAAGACTGCTTCCGTGTACATGCATATGTGCATGTGCACATATATATACTTGCACATGCACGTATATACATTATTTTTTTTTAAATACATAGGTTCGGATTATGCACACTTCCCTCTGCTATTTACTCGTATAAGTATAAACCACGTTGCTAAAAAGACAAATAGCGCTCCTTATAAACGACTGAGCAAGCTATACGTGTTGCTAAATAATATATAGGAATCATATTTAAATACTATTGGAGCTAGTAAGAAAACCCTTTCTCCAGCACGCAAAGCATTTCTGGGTGCAGCCAGTATTCCTACTATGCTCAATGGCCCCCACTTGAGCAACTAATGGGGTGGCTGATAGCAGGTTAGGTACATAGATTTGTTATCACCAACATTAAGTGAAAGCAAAAAGATTGTTTGATATCTTTTTGAATGTAATCTAGAAAATTATTGTCTGCAAGTGTTTTATGACAATCCACAATCAAATAAACTTTTATGCTACCAAATAGATGTAGCAGCCTTTAAAACCAATTGCAAACAAGTCCAGCGTTCCGGCCATACCTGAGCTGTTGTCTGCATATTTTTTTTTTTCTTCAGAATTCCAGGCTACAACTTGAACAAACAAGTATACAGGCGAATCGCAACAGTTCCCAGCCGGCTTTTATTTTAATATTGGCTTCAGAATCAGCAGCCGTGCATAAGAGGAGCGCACTGGGAATAGCAAAGTCTGCCTTCAGGCGTACCGGTGTAGCGCCCAGTTTTTCTCCTCCACTAAACAAAAATATGCCGCGTGTATATTGATGCTTCGCATGAGGGCAGCCGAGGCAAGCAGGAGACCTCTGCCCTCACTCGGTTCACCCTGTAACAAAGCAGCGACCAGCGGCAAATGACCACGCCAACCCCCGCGAAGCGAGCAAGAGCCAAAGAGCGCAGATATATCAGTGGGCACTTTTCCTTCTTTCTCATCACTCGTAGAGAACCAGCAATACGAGCTAACAGCACCATTGAGAAGAGAGCATCGACTCAATTTCCTTGGAAATGTATGGAGAAGTCACATGACTTGCCCTTCCTCGATGTTGCCCCACAAACCCTCACCAAACCAAGCAAAAGGCCATTCGGGTACCTTATGCCTCGCCAGAGTCATGAACTCATGCCCCCTCACCGAACTCACCAAATTCATGAGCTCACTGAAGTCACGCCCCTCACTCAACCTCAAAATCACGAGTTTTCGAGGCTTATGAATGCACTCAACCTCACCTCACGTCTGATCGGTGAGGACGAGTGTGGTGAGGGAATGCACTCATGAGTGAGTTTTGCCAAGGTATGGGCTTAGCTGGTTCACCTTGACTACATTACCTGCCATTTCAACATCAATTCTGTGCATTACTGTTTATGCACTAAAATAAAAAAATAAAAAATAAACTTCTGGAATTGTGAAAAGCTTGAAACGGTGATGCTATATTTGATACTTTGGTGTAACAGTTTGGGACACACTGAATTAAGATATTTGCTTTTGCATTTAAGGTAATTTATTTGTTATTGTTACAGAATGTCCATATTTTAACCCCCAGAACCCCTACTTTATCTTTCTGACATCCCTCTTGCAAGAACTACTGGGTGCAGCATAGTAACTGGGAACAAAATGTGTTTATTGTTTTTAGTGGTGACATGAATAGCATCATGTTAGGAAGCATAAGGTAACAAGCAGCACAGAAACAACATGAACTGCAAAGAATGCAATATTGGGTGCAGCATAATAACTATGCACAAAACTTGTTTATTTTTAAGTGGCGACACAAATATCTTCCCTATGGTTTGTAAGGCATCGCCTTAAAAAGCTTGAGGTAACAAGCAGCACAGAGACAACATGAACTGCAAAGAATGCTATATTTCACCAAGTGCCTTAAAGAATCGCAAATTGCCTAATTTCCGAGAATTAAGGTTAAGTATTGGAAAATTCAAGACAATGCCATAATAATCAAGCTGTAAATCTTCCCTTGGTCAGAAATTTTAAAATTTCTCAAAAATCTCAAATTTTTGAGATTTTTCTTTCAAAAATACAAAGAAAAACTTGGTTACAGATTTTGTTGTCTGGTGGCATAGATGCCTACAAAAACTGTTGTCTTTCCCACTTTGTAGAAAGACAAACTACAATAACACTAACAATTCAACATCTTGGTCAAGTGGTGTCGGTCCACTCCAGTGTGCACCAAGGCTCTGTACTTGGACTTCTTTTTACCTACATTAATGATCTACCATCTTGTGTCTTCTCATATTCGTTTGTTCACTGACAACTGTAGTTTTCTAGGAAGTAACTTCGGATAGCAACAACTCTCCAATCTGATCTTAACGACATCTCTGCATGGTGCAAAGTTTGGTGCATAGAACTCAACATTATCAAATGTAAATTTATGCACATGTCCAGATTAACTCACAAGCTACCCTTTTACTGTTTTAAATGGACCCTAGAAGCCATTCGTTGGTCATCACCAAACTTGGCAATAAAACACGACAGACTTTGCGAAGAGAAGGAAAAAGATAATAAATTATGTTATGAATGCAAAGTCAGCCAAAAAGAACAAATACTTTGGAAACATATAATTGACTGAGTAAGACATTCCTATAAGAAAACCTTGCTAAAAACAGTACATTTGTTATATACCAAGTAACAGGTGCCTCTGAAGAAAGTTAACACCTCAAAAAATACAACTACAGGTTATAAGATTTTTTTTTTTTTCAGGCCTCTACCTGTATTTTACGGTCAATTTTTTTTTTTTTTTTGTCTACAGAGCTGTATTCACATTTTCTAAGGTTTAGTACAGCACACAACTTGAAGGCTTCACTTGGCATGTGGAGGAATAAAGTAAAACGCGGGTATTTCCTAGGACACAGAGACAACTGACCAAGGGATGATTGTTTTCACATCATGAACAGATGGTGCAATCCTGGCTGATCAATGCATTCATTACTCTAAGTTTGGTCCGACATTTGAAGTGGGTACCGGCACGTCCTAGTAGATGTGTATGAAATCATGATTACTGTTACACATAAAAAGTATTAATTCTTATACACACACTGACTCAAGGCTCCGGAAACCGCAAAAATCTATCCACGAAAATTTTTTTTACATGTGTTCAGTAACTGCCTTTGGTAGTAGGCTTCTGTAGAACGCAAATCCCCCTTGAAAAAAAAAAAAATTCAAACTGAACACGTCACGAGACGTATACGCGCACCAATTTACTGCAGAGCGTGACACAGAAAGAATAAAACAAACTCGGAACAAGGGACATCGTACAAATCTTTCATTGAGAGCTACGTTCGTCGTCCCTTTTCCCGAGTTTGTTTTATTCTTTCTATGTCAAGTCAACGTCTACGACGCTAGCGTGATGAATGCACCCACGCAGTAGTCACACCTGCTTTCCCCCGGTCGCGCAACAGTCACACCCGCGACTGCCAACTGAAAGCTCTAGAATTCTTTCGAATGGAAAAGTACGGCTATTTCCTTTCGAGTTGGCGCGCTGGCGTTAACGACCCAAGAAGCGCGTGCGAACGTTTCAGCAGGCGCACGCGCGCCGGCGCAAGCAAGCGGTAGCTTCTGGTACACTGTAGAATAGCCGCGTACGCGAAGAGTAATGACCGCACAGCAGCCAATCGACCAAACTCTCGAGAAACGCTCGTGTCATCGGTGAGCTTATCCTTTCGGGTGACATTCCGTTATGGGCCTGATGGGGCTGAGGGAGCGACGACAAAGCAGTGCACGGCTGAACACCCCCCTTCCCCGCACTGCCGTTTTCCTCCATGCCTTTCGGGGTCAGTGCTACCCTGATGCGTACACAACCGCTTAGTCAAGGAAACAACACTGTCTGGCGCCCGTAAGACTTCAAAACCAAGGGGCTGACGGCACACAAACCATCACGTGTGCAGCCATTACCAACCCTCCTTTGCTACGGTTCAAACAATTTACTCGAGGCCAGTTAGACCGTGAATGGGAAGGAATGCACCGAGGCATTCAAGGTCACCGTGCGAGCAAACAAACCAAAAAGTGAGGACCTCAGTATTGTGCACTATCTGTCTGCATAACTGAACTTTACTTCCCCGGCACTGATTCTGCCTTATCTCATAAAATAAAGCGATCCAGCTTCTTCTCGGCAATTAAAACGACGCCATAACAGCGGCACTAGTAAAACTTTCGAACAGCTTCCTATAGCGACAAGGTTTTGACACCCGCATGTAGTTTCCAAGGGTGCCTTTTACACCACTAAAGAACAGGCTCCCAACTACAAGCATAGGACTTCCAATTGCTTTCCATCTACAACTTCCATTTACAAATACTTCAAGAGAGGTATAACACATAGATACAAAACCCCAGTTAGTCATTTCTGGCGCGTTAAAATAACACAATACTCCGCGATAAGCTGCGCTGCTTGCTCTGGTTAAGCTATGTCTGATAAGCGTGAAAGACGTTGCGGGAATCAGAGCAGCTGTCAAAATGTTTGCCTCGCCTAAGAACAAGGGTTCAGCTCGTCTGCTATTTCGATACATACGCGAATCTATGTACCACCATTTTTACCCTCCTGCATTGTTTCCTGTGAATTTATAATTTGATAATCAAAGCCGCCCGATATTGGCACCAGTGAGGCCCAGTCACAAGAGAAATTCCACGCACGAAAAAAATCGCACATCGAACTGAAGTCTGGGAAGGAAATTGCAAGGAACATATCAAATACTACGAAAGTCAGCTGATCGAAAACATGACGCAGAAGAAGTGATTGTGAGCAAATGCGACTTGTAGAAAAAGCAATGAAAAAAAAAACAAAAACCGTTTACGCCATTCACTTAAAAAATAAAACAAATCAAAGTTACGTTAACCTGCTCGAGACGTCGCACTGCGCTCATTCCCCGTCGAAAAATGCCTCAGCTAAACCAAGCAAGCGCACAATTCCCAGTTTAGCATCGCAGCAATTTCGGCGATGGGCGAAGCAGCAAAACGACTCGCTGGCACCAAGTGTCAAAATAGGGGACCCCCCCCCCACTCCCAAATGCCATACATGTTGGTCGCCATCCGCCAAATGCCTCCGCAACCGCGATTACTGCAACGCTCAAAGAATAAACGAATGGGACGTTTCAGAGCCGTTCGAAGGACACGGGAATGCGACAAAAAATGCCCTAGAGATTTCTTTCCTCCGCAAAACTGGACATTGCAAGCGTGGGTAGGGCCCGCACGAGATTGCACGGAGATTATCGCCGCACTGCAGTCAGCGATCGTCCCGAATTTTCAAGCCCGGAACCACCGCAACGTGGAGGCTACGAGTGCGTCGCTCCTCCTCGTCAATTACGGGCCAAACTCTGGGCAAAGGATTTGGCGAAACAGCAGGGATAAAAAAGACGTAGGCCTAACTGCGGTGCCAAAAAAGAATGAGCCGAAAGGGGAGCTTACCATCGTAACGTTCAGCCTGTTCCGCTAGCTTCGCCTTGTAAACGTTATCTTCTCTCTCGGCCATGGTGAACTAGGAAGGGACAAACTATACCGGCGTGAAAAAGTAATAACTTAGTTGTTTCTTTCACAAATAAAGCCGCTGCAAAAGTCTGATCCACCTCCCGGTCACAACCAGGCCTAACACTTTGCCGCCACGGAACGGTGGATCACTCCGCGCCGCCGAACAAGCCGAAGGACCGAAGGGCGCCGATGCTTTACCGGACCTCCGAGATTAAAGTAGTTCCCGCACCGCACGATTCACCCCCCTTGCGGCTGTCACTCAAATTATTAGTTATGGTTGGAGGAGCGCTATTTTGTCTTTGTGAATTGGTTGACAATGTCTCTACCAAGGTCTTTGCGAACAATTGCGCAAAGTCGTTTCCGAAGAAGTCGTCAAAACACGCCAGTAAATGCCAGTAAAACAGACGGGCCTATGAGCTTACACCCACGATTGCCTCCGTTTCCTCTTCTACATCGACAACAAACACACACGCGTTGAGGACTTCAACGGACGTTGTAGGAAACTGCCGCTCCTGCGGATCACAGACTTCCCGTCTGCAGCCTTAACGGCGTGCGATATGCATTTACGAAAACAAGGGGGAGATTAAAGGCTCTTTAAATCTAACTTTGCCGGCGCTTCTTACCACGTGGTGAGCAACGTGGTAATCATGCCACCACAGAAAGGGGTGTGGTCAAAGGCGATGACCGCAGGCGCTCGTAGTCTGTTCATACTGGTAACTTTGCCAAACAGTAATTAAACATGACGAAGATACATAGAAAGGGGGGACGGACTTTGTAAGTGTCTTCATGTTTAATTACTGTTATCAATACGTTTGTTTCGTACTTACTTTGCCAAACAGGTTTATTTTTATTTTCATATAGAAGAGATGATCTGTCTGTTGTTTTTGGGGCACGTGATCAAAACCGCATTGTTCACACCAAGGCCCACATTTTTTCTTCCCCCCCCCCCCCCCCCCCCCTTCTGGTTGATACTACCAACCCAAGCAGCTGGTTAGAGTAGCTGTTAACCTTTATTACTAGGACCTAGTTTCACTTGAGAGCAAACAGGCCCACAAAAGACAACGGCAATTTCTTCTAGGACCACTTGTTCACAAACATGCCCCATCATGGCCAGCTATGCTGTTTGTTTGCTTAGAAAATGGCCCTTGACTCCGGTGTGTTGAGACAGCCAGTTGGATGCTGGGAAAGGAATTTTACGTGATGGTTCACGCCCCCGAGAACATAAGGTGGTCAACGGGGCATGCAAAAGAGCACACGTCAAAAACCAGCAACGAAACAATATTTATGAAAGGTGTGGTGTACAATGTGTCTCAAAGACGGCGGTTTTATTCACAAGCCAATATATGTCTGCATAAATATGTATTCCAATACTTCCATATCTTGCTGTACATGGTTTGCATCTGACAACATTGCACTATCCTGGTGGTCATCCGTACCTGCTCTTGACAGGAACAAATTCGGTGGTATAAAATGTATGCTGCAGAAAGACCACCAAAAAGGCAACTGATGCAACATGAATGTAAGCCATGTATTAGTGTTTGGATTGAAGTATAACACCCAATTTATTTGACCATTAATTTTGTTCAGTCATTGCTGGCAACAAATTGAGTGGTGGCAATTTGAAACCACTTACATGTCTGAACTTTAAACGGCCACTAGTAGTGGCCAGGACTGTACAACGGGGTTCATAAAGGCTAATTTATTGGAGGATTCAGACATTCCAGGTGAACTATTGACTAGCAACTCTTAATGCAACTTTTACTCTGTGTTCAGTTCTCAAAGTCTACAAGCCAATTTCATGTTGAGCAAAACTAAAAATGCCAATGATAAGTAGGTATAAGTGTGGAAAATGCAGCATGATGAAAGAGAACCTGAGGTAAATGGTGTTGAAGTTCTAAAAGTTGTAATGAAACTGGAATTTTTCAATCAAATAAAAACAAAGCTGTTGCTTGATTATGGACAATTTCATTTGATAAGCACTCATAAAACGTCATGAAAACAAAAATCGGCACTTCAACGGCCTGAAAGCAATCTGGTCATAAAATTCAGCGTTATTCCCAAGCTAATTGATAGTGTCATCAAAACGGTGAAGCCTGTATAAGGGTGATAAAAAAAAACAAGTTGACATAAAAATAAGCCTATAGAGCAGTCCAGGTAAATAATCTCAAAATCTAAGTACTTATCCTTACTAAATCTCAAATTTTAAAACCACATCATCAGAATACCGCAGCCCATCATGAATTTTTACTGCAACGTAGTTGTAAAATCAGCGCTCACAAAGTTTCCTTTTTGTTTTTAATAGACCCGACGCTTGTGTGTATAACGTCCCCCTCTGGAGGAGTGTTTTCTCTTTCATACGAGGGTGCACTGTGGTGAAGCACGATACAAAAACTTGCAGTTTGCAGTTGTGGCTTCATTGCAGTGCACCAGTGTGCAGTGACAAGTACACTCAACGAAGTTAACTAACACACAAGATCAGACCACAAGCATTACGGGCAATTCACACACTTACGTTGAGTCCAACTCAGTGCGACTGACATCGGTTTTTAAGCCCCTTACGACCACGCCGCACAGCAGCAATGGTGGTCGTAAGCCCCTTCAAACCCCATTGCCACAGCAAACCATAAAAGGATTAACGTCTCAAGCCGTTGCCGTTGTACTCGGCCGAACGCATGCAAGTGTGTAAATCAGCCTTAAGACTTCTGAGTACTGTCAGAGTTTGATACAGACATCAATTCAAGTAGTACACCATTTGACAAACAATAATCAGAAGTTCTGAAAATTACCACCAACCTACAGTAACGATCCGGCCTGAGCAATTATATTTTCAGCATAAATAAAGTGAAATTAAGTTTTAAAACAATGTTGCCACAAATTTATCCATTTCGGTGAAATGTAGCAGGATATAGCATAGCAAGTCCTTTGGCACAAACTGTGCAGCAATCACCTGACTACATGTGCTGTTTTGACTGCTGTTTTGTCGTGAGCTCTTCTCCCTAATGGCTGTCGCCATGGCTGCCGCACATAATGCATACAGCAGCATGAGGCACCAACGTCGAAGAAAGAAGGTAGCAAGCGGCAAAAGTACTAGTTCCAGACTTCTTTTTTATTTCCTCGCTTATCCAAATGCGACATATTTACAAATATGACTGCAAAACCGCAGGCGGAGCGGGAGAGGCATGCTTACACACTAGTTCATGCACACGGGGTCTTGCGTTTCTGGCCTGCGACATACACAGTCTCCTAATCGCTTCACTTACGGACTCGCACTTAGGCTAGGGGTCCTTTAACCGTGGTCAAGCGAAGTGTTGCGAGCTACGGACGTCTTCAGGGTCTCCCTGCTGTGGCCCTGCTTGGAGCTCACCGATGCCAGTAGGATTGTGATGTCGTCTGGCTTCCCACCTGCAACCATCAAAGCATGCCACAATAATTTATTTATTTCAATGAAACCCCAGGCAGTTCTTAGTACTGCCATCCTTCATTCACCCCTCTACAACAGCTAATGTAGCATGCAGGTCAGTGCAGCTTGCACAAAGTAGAAAGGTTTGCATATTAATATGACTTACTTCTCCATGTGCAGTGATTAGGAATATTTTAAATAATTCTTACTGCAGGACACAACTTTACTGAATATTTTCAAAATCTTTCTGAGGGAAAAAATTAATGTTGATAGTTACAATTTGACACCTACTGCACAAATCCATGGGGTATGCAAAAAATGACGACGACCCTCTATTCAATTTTCTCATGCCCATGGGGATAAAGTAAACCTCTGGACGAGGCATGATAAAGAGTAAATATAATTATTGTGGCGACAGACTACTGTAATAACAAATACGCCCTGCATCATTACCAATATAAGCAAGTTCAGCCGTAACTTGCATGTAAGGAAAATAAAAAGAGCTCATTGAAATATATCCACTGCGACATATTAGGTACCAGTCAACAACCAAGACATGTTTCTCTATATCCTATACATATTTTAGTTTAAAGGTCACCCACGAGAAAAATAACTTGGTGGAACAAATGTCGCACACCTGCGGTTTGACGGAGAGATGCTACAAAACTGATTTTAGAAACAGCTGCGACACTGTGACACCTGCTCGCATGCCGCAAAATGGGATGCAGCAAGTCTTCCTTCCCACGGAGCCTAAGGGCATGAAAAGAGCCCACCCCAAGTTTCTCTATGAAGATAACTTGCACTCCCGTTTCGATAACACCATCCCATGCAGGGTTCCCAGTTGGACGTGACAACTTTGACCCTTTTTCTCTCTTACAGAACAGCCATTACCGGTGAGGCTTCGCGGCGGATCCCTGTGCGCATGGTGTAGCCCACTAAGTTTAGCGAGGAAACGCTTCCCACTAAACTCACTAGCGAATCGCAATGTCACGTGGTGCATTTCATCGATTTAGTGGAGAAACCGTTACGCCAAATTCAGCCCGAAAATTCCGACGTCTCGCGACGGCGTGACGTCACGTGACCGTGCAACGTCCCGGCGTCACGTGTCCCGGTTTCACGTGACAATACAATCTTAGCACCTATGGCAATTTTTTAACAACGGAAGAGAATGTGCAGCGTCCCGAATGCCACCTCAGTTCACTTGCGGAAAAACAATAAAGAACCATTTTTTTTTTGGCAAGTTTGGAAAAAGTGGGTGAAGGGGTCAAACGGTCGCTTGCCGATGGTGTCGATGCCGTTGTCGCGCGCCCTGAGGCTGAAGGGGGACAGGTGAGACTCGTCAAAGGCCAGCCTCCTTGCCTGCAGCGCCAGCGAATTCACCGTCTGCTGGATGCTGTCCAGGCAGGGCTCCTGCACAAGCAAAAACGCTCGGAACATCCTAATCACGCAACGGCAGCTCGCCGTGCCTGTTCATGCGAAGACGAACGGGACGCCATTCTTTTTCTTCTACGACGGCGGGTGAGAAATTGCATAGAGACAAACACGTTGACCATAACCACGAAATGCCGAGCATGCGCCCGTGTCAAGATAAGTGACCACCCCTACTTTCGAAACATTTGAAATATGGACAAAGGCCACATCAGCTCACCTTACTAAACTTCCGAGCCCGCCGAGCGATCCGGGCTGCTCGTTCGTGTCGGCCGGTTCTACGAGAAGCCAATGCAAGGCAGCGAAGATTTGTGCACGTGCACTGGTGCGAAGCAGTGAAGCTCAAGGCGAAAGCGCTGGTGCAAAGCGGGCTAGACAAGAGCGGCATGGCTGCTCTATAAATGAGGGGCTCCGCCAGACTCCTATACCGCCCCTACACCCTTCCATCAGATCGAACGGGGACCTACCCTACAACGTGCCCCCACCGCTTTACTGCTCTCAGACCTAAGAGGCACCCATTTTTTCGCGATTAACTCAAACGTTTTTGTGGATGCTCGCTCGGTATCTTATGACAATGTTACGCAAGATTTAGTCGGAAGTTGCAGTGAGATTCCGGATCAACTATTCCTTCGTGAAAACTTTGTCGTACGGCACTTGGAGCATATTAGGATTGCCGTTAGGATTGCGTGCTTTGCTCGCAAGCAATGCGTCTCAAGTTGGCATTTTTTGCTGCTTGAAGTTATGGTCGCGTTATTAGGGTCCCTTTTTTTAATGCAGTAGAAATATAGTGGCAGAGAAGCACCACTCAACCAGTTCTTTTAATGAAAGACCATTGCTGCTGACAAGACTACTAGTCAACGAAACATCACTCGGAGGAATATGTGTTATCGCATAAGATCTCAGCGTGCTTGGTAATAAAAGGCACACCAAAGCTCATACAGAAAGGATGTAAATACTTTAACCACTATAATTTCCACATTTGTGTTAGCCGTGATTTCTTGACCTAAACAAGATTATTCGTTTTAATACAGTCGAACCTCGATATAACGAACTTCAATGTAAAGAAATCCTCGATTTAACGAAGTATTTTATTTTTCATAATTTCTTGCCCATAGACCCCATGTATATTTAATCTCTATATAATGAAGTCTATTTTGCTTGCTATTTCAAAAAAACGAAGTGCCATTGCCATAGAAGGCAATAAATAAATAAACTCTAAAGAACAACTTCGCAAAAAAATTGTGGGTAAAAAAAAAAAAAATATATTATGCGCAAACGCGAGCGCTTGATAGGTTACTTCACGGGGACAGGCCTTCCAACGTTCCTAGGCTGCCCGAGGATGCGGCGCCGGTAGCGCCGGCGAAGCATGCGGCAAAGCGCATTCCGCGGGGCTGGCCAGAAAATGCCAAGCAAAAAGTTAACACGGCATAACAGCATCACCACTGACATTCACTGATCATCATAGTCCACTGTACCGCGGTTAGCGCGGGAGCCAACTTCAGCAGGGGAGCGACGTGATGGCGCGACCGCACGGGCAGTGCCATCTAGGAGAAGACCGATTATCGTCTTGCAAGCGTGATGTAAAGCAAAGGCGCAAGCACACTGTGGGCGCAAGGGGGCAAGTAAACTGTGCGGGCAAGAGTGCTGTGAAGGTTGGAAACATTGGCACCGCCTAAACAGCTTTATTTTTCAACCGGGCGGTTCACTCACGTGCTTGCTGCCATAGGGTAACGTAAAGTTCTTTCTTTGGATGAGAAAGCAAAGGTTTGGATGCCATCCTTAAGAAACTGCCGAGATCACGAGCACTCGGGAAGTGCTCGACGCAATGGACGTACTGAGGAGGTACACGGCGTCGCATGGGCAGCAAGACGGCGTGCAAGCGCTCTGGGCGCTCGAACGCCGTTTGACGCCGCTGCTACTGTTGGACAAGGCGCAAGCAAAACTCGCGGACTACTTTGCCCCTAAATAAATGTCGTTTTCGGTGAGTTTTCATACCCGTAAAATGTTTCGGAATTTTTTTTTGCATGCTAAGGCCATATTCCGATTTAGGGAAATCTCAATGTAACGAAGTAAATTGCGAATTTTACCGACTTCGTTACATCGAGGTTTAACTGTATATACAAATTTTTTCAACAGTGTCATATACAAGCCTAACAAGCAAAGAAAAGGAGATGCGAGTTACAGGGATGCCGTTTTCACCGCCTGCTTATTGGGCTTGGCAAATTTTAGACGGAAGAATAACCGTTTAAATTAGTTGGCTAATTAACAAACATATGATGATAAACTTTTCAAGTAACAGCTTTATTAAACCACGATGCAATTATGGAGCACCTCCATATCTAGTTGCAAACCAATTTACGCAATTAGCAACGAGGAAACTGGTTCCAGATATTCATTTATATTCTTATTTTAATGCTTTTCTGTCACGAATTTAACGATCAGATGCCGGAGGAGGACCACAACGGGGAAAACGACAGGGAAAACGAAGGCAATCTCCTCGGAACAAAAGCATCCCGCTATCCACGACGAAGTGCACATAAACATAAAGAATGCCGTCCACCACCAGCGCCCTTCATGGCACCCGTCGACACATTCCGTAAGGCAGCTTACGGGACCTTCTTTCGACCGGAGCTTCTCTCAGTTGGCAAGAAGCGGCTCCGATCTAGCAGAGGGCACGTGCAGGGGAGCCTTGACCACTTTCTGCAGGCACAATAAATATGTGCCTGTGACAACATGTGTTATTTTTCTTCTTCTTCTTCTTTTTTTGCATTACTTTTATTGTGTATAGATATAACAAAGAAGCGGACACAGCTAGCGATTTCAGATTCCCACTGACTTTGTTATAACCGGTCTCAGCAGTAGTGCCAGACGAGCTTTGGGGAATTGAGAAAAAAACATCTAAAAATACATCGCCCTGTGTGGGAGTCGCCGATTTTCCTCTGGACAAACTTCCTCGGCGTCGCACCAACAGCGTGCCTACTGTGAAACGAGGTTGAGACTTTGGGTCGGAGCCAAGAGGAAGGGAGTCCCGTTTTTTTTCCTCTGTCTCGCCTGTCCCAAGCTGTGCTAATTATTCATATATCTTTCGATTCTCCCCAGATAATTTCCACCAGTCTTTTAATGTCCTCTTTGTTATTAAAGTGGACTTACCATCATGTAGTCTTTCAATCTCATCTGCCAACCCCAGCGCTCCGGCCAAATCTGTCGCCCCGTCAGGGGGGTGGGAGTAAGCCCCGTGGCACTTCAATACCATCGTGTTCTATTGCCTCGTCTTCCCCGTGGCATACGGTACATCTCCTATTCATTTCTTCATTTTTTACCCCATATGTCCTAGTTCTCAATACTCCCGTTCTAGCCTCAAACAACAACTCCCTCGTGAAACATTGTACCAATGTTCTTTCCTTATTTCCTGTTTTTCTACATTTGTGCATTCCTTCCTTCAACAGTCTCCTCTCGGCCTCCCACTTCCTTTTCTATGGCAGTAGTCTGCTCAGCCTCAGCACTCGACTGTTGGTATTTGAATTTCAGCTTTTGGGTTCGGTTTGTCCATTTAGTGTTCAGACTCCTCATATATAAATGTTTATATACCTTTCTCGCCCATCGTGTATCCTCCATTGTGTCTAGTCTTTTGTTGAAATTTTGATGATCCACTGATAATAATAATAATCATTTTTATTCTTTTTTACAATACCAGTGATGGAAGTGGCGTTTGACCCTTTGGAGCGGGTTCTGTAGCAGGCAAAATATTCGTTTGGAGCAGCCACTGACGCTTTTGGAGCAGATGCCAACGTCTGTTAACATATCACTTGAAAATTAAAAAAAAAAAAAAATTGATTGCATCGCTAAATGAGTTTTTATTTGATAATGACTGAGGGTTTGTCTTTGATACTGGAGCATATTACTTATTACCTTTTGTAATAAGAAACAATAGAGAACAAAAGGTACACAGCTTTCTTTTTAGAAATAAGGCTCTGTCCAGAGTAGGTTCCATTTACAATGGGTACTAATCAAATTGATGAGAAATGGATTGCACTTCAGTTAGGATAAAGCTTCCCTCCCTTTCCACTTTTACACCCGGTAGTTTAATTAGCCAGTATGTATTGTTTCTGTAAAATGCCACCGACAACCGACATAATTGCTAACACGTCTATCAATAAAAATGCGCCTCCCAAATTTTATCGTTGCCAAACTTGACTTAAATATTATAAACTAAAAAGAAAAAAAAGAAAGAAAAAAAAAACAGCCACTCAGAAGTATTATGAAACCCTACTCTTGCGCATACATTCATTCAAATAAAGCACGACATATTGTTTTTTTTCTTTCTCGACGCAGCATTTTAAAACAAGATCATATAATTGAGATCAAAGGATGTGGACCTGCAATGGTACTGAGCATAATTTACATGTACATCGTGTTGAACCAGACGCTCACCCATGACAGCAGCTACTCCGAACACTCCGGTGCAAGGCGGTGAAGCTCGACACGCGTGGGCTGGTGAGAGGCGCCATGGAGGCATGCGGCAGACATAATAATCAACTCATCTCACCAGGGACCCTGAACTCGTCACGCACAAAGTTGGAGCCGAAAGTTCGCGGTGCGCGCCGAATGGACGTCGGCGAAAAAAGCGCGAAGTCATCGTCGTGATAGGCCAATCGGGGCGCTCCTTCGACTTCGGCCTCAACTTTGTGTTTGACGAGTTTAGAGGCCCAGGAGTATAGGAGCCTGGTTCTGACTTATCGCAGTAGCCACCATCCTACTGTGTATTTTGCAATGTTTTGTCGCCACTCTTGGCTCCTGACATCGCCGACATCGTCTGAAATTTTAGAGGTAAAGCGCAGCCGACGCTACGAGCCAATCGGTTTAACTAAACAAGGTCAAAGTGTGACATCGAGTACCATCTTACCGTACGTGTTCGTTCATCAATTAAACCAACCAAATGCAGCGAATGCCCGTGACTTGCGCTTTTACTGTGCGTTCACGGTGTATATGTTCCAGCCTTTGACTGTGCTCTGAGCTTAGATGAAACACCGTATACGGTGAGTAGAGATGCTGTAAAATACATATTTCTATCGTTTTTCTTTCTTTCTACTCCTTTGAATATTAAAATAAACCACTAAAAAAATATATCACGTTTTTTGCCCATCTCGGCGCAGGTGTGGCGCGATTTTTAGCTAAAATGGCACTTTGCCGTAAGATGTAGCAGACTTCCGCTCAAGGCGCAATTGGGCGCAGCACTTCCATCACTGCAATACAGAAAATCGGGTTCGTCAGAGCCTAGAGGCTTGTACGACGTGGCCCGGCAACCACGAATAGTTATTTATACAACGCTGCCCTTTGCGTTGAAAAAGAAACAAAAAAACAATACATCGATGACAAGTTCACTCAACTGGGAAATATACATAAAAATAAAGCAAGAAAAAAAAAAAAAGATGTCTTGTTTTATCATTATCAGAACCAAATAGTTGACATACAAAATATCACGCCCCCCGAAAAAACGGGAACATTCTCTTTTCATCAGAACCAAACAATAAAATGACAACGATTGCTTATCTAACTTCGAAAGATGTCTAGTCCATGTCTCCCTGCACTCCATTTGGTGCATCATCATGTGCCCAAAGTGCTGGTCTGCCCAAGCTACACTGTCGGGTGTCTAAACTCGACTGGATTTCGGATTTCATACTTAGTCCCGCATTGCTGAAAGACAAACCTGGTACCGTGACTCCTTTTCACATTCCCCTGACTACTGTAAAATACTGGGAAAGCGCCCAGGCAAAATTTGGAGATAATCGCGAAAAAATGGGGGATGGGTGCTTGTCCGGTCATCAATTTTACATATATATGTAGCGTGCATATTTTCTCAGATGTTACAAATTTGGGAACGGGCACTTAGTGTGGAGTAAACAAACGCGCGGTATTCTATGGTACATCATATTGATTGTAATTTATAATATTGTAGGTGCTGCCTACCTATATGGATGAAATGTATGGGCACGGATATTGGGGCTCCCAATGTGGCAGAGTTTGTGCACAGGTAAACACAGGGCGATGATGACACATGGAAGTATACTAGGTCAGTCATCCTGTTTCATCGGCGCAGTTGTGGATCATCAATAGTTTTGCGATTGCAACGCGTGTCGCGAGGGAAGAAACAAGATGTTAGTTGTAAAAAGCTAGATCGAGAGGACGACACCGTCGGACAGACCTTCAGCATATATGCTCTAAATATCCCGCAGTTTTTAAGTGTTTTGTTTTGAGAACGATTCCGCAATTTATAAACAGGCTCCTCAATGCCCTACGCTTCTTAAATTACCCGTGAGCCAGGAGTGTCACGATGCAATCTGGACTGGTATCCAGGCCGCCAGACAGGTATTGGATGTGGCAGACCATACTCCTATTCTTCGCCAGGTCTAGGCGGGCCCTTACGGCCGCCGGAAATCCGTGTTCAAACGGGGGGGCTCTTACGAAGATGAATGAGTGCAATGCAAGCAGGCGCCGACTTTATTTTCATGTAGTGCCGAAATGCGCTACTTCGTCGACAGGGCGAGTGAAATCGAAATCATGGCAGTCATCTCCATGGCCAACCAGGTCCCATTCTGCAATGCACGCAGTGTTGCGTGCAGGGATTTTTTAAAGTAGTCTACTGCTTCTTAGAGGGAGAGTGTGAATATTTCTCGGTGCAATCTCTAGCTTCAACACAAAGGAAAGAGTCGGTATGTGGTGTCTTTCCCTCGCAAAATGAAAGCCACTGATTATGCAGCTCGATTCAAACCACCATTAGCGCACTTCTGCGCTAATTCTGGTTTGGTCATTATCGACATTAAGTAATAATGCAGAATTTTAACCTTTTTTTGCTTCTTATTGGGCGGGCCCCGTCGCTTGTGTGGCATGAATTGAGGTGAACCCATAACATTGCAACCCACAAAAACCGTTCAGATAAGTGGAACGCAGTTCGTTTTTACCCTAGCTCAGTCAGCAAAGCATCACCACTTGCCCTCGCTGCGAGGATAAAATATATAGACCTCCACAAGGACAAATTTCATTACCGACGAAGAAATACACCTGGCATTTTCAGTTGACACGACAGATGGACGACCGAAATCAGGCTCGCTCGATTTACCCACACCTCCTGCTACGGGTACACTAAGCACACACTGCCATATTCCATTTAGGAGTGCGGCTTATCCTAAAACCCACACAAGTGCAGTGACGCCGGGCTTCCACTTTCCCTCCCTCGTCTACTCACCCCAAGCTGAGCCAGCTCGTTGACGATCATGTTCTCGGGCAGGTTGTCGAACAGCCCGTCCGTGGCCATTAGGATCAGGTCACCCTCTTGCACGGCAAAGCAGGATGTGTCGGCAGACTCTGGGCTGAGGGGACGCACAAATAACTACTCAAAACACTCTCCGCATAAAATGCTGTTTCACCTCTAGCCTTATGGCTAGAGTCGGAGCCTTTTGGAATGAATAGAAATGCACAGGCAAAAAACATCCTCATTTTATAAAACTTTTTTTTTTTTTCGTGCATTACTATACAGTAAATAGATGTAAGTGGAGTGACATTCCCATTAAAAAAATAAAGTAAAAGGTTTACAGAAAAAGTGTCCCTGTGACAGAGCTATTACAACGAGGGCTGTTAAAAGTCTGTTGCACTGTAATCGTAACGGAACCCTCGAGAGTAGTGTGAGGAATGTGCAAGTTCTTAGGAACCCAGTCCCAGAACTCGTGCAGGAGAAACCTGCCCAAGGGCCCACTGACACAAGCAGTATGGTGCACATACCGATGTGCATTTGACCGTGGCACTTCAAGCTTAGAAAAAAAGTATACTATGTTCTGGAGCATCATTTGCATGTTGCCCGAACACAAGATTTACCATGTTTCTCTATCGCGTTGCCCCGCTCGACCAGGAATCCTCAGAGAGCATAACGACTCATTTCAAGGTCAACCCCTCCAAAAACTAAAAGAAAATACACAAACACTACTCCCAATGAAATAAAGCAACCGTGATACCCAAATTTTTGCTAGTTTCAAAGGGGGGCCACAATGACAACAGCAATGGCACCGAGGAAGCCTTCTCTCAAATTCTTGTCCCCGTGGACAAGCTCATCCACCTCGGGAAGCGTGCTAACTGTGGCGAAGGCAGAAGAGGCGGTTACCTGTCGCTGAGCACGAACTGGCTGACGCCGGGCGGAGGCAGACACAGTTGGAACGGGGTGTTGAAGTAGTGCTGTTGCTCCTGCGACCGGTGCACCACCTGACCCCTCCTGACCACCAGGAACCCACTGTCGCCGATGTTGGCCGTGTACAGGAGGCGCTCCACACAGTTCAGCACCAGCACACATGCCGTGCTGCTTCCTGCAGACGTGTGTCAACAACCGCTGTCAGGTCTTAAGTAGCAGTAACGATAAAAACAAATCGGGGTGCAACCACTCATATATTAACACGCAAGTTCCGACACCAAATTGTCTCTTACATCGTGAGAATCTTTATTCCCTGTCTTCATCACGATTGCACTAACTTTGCACTGTCGCGTGCGAGGGCTGCGAGAGCGAATGACTCGTGCCGACAATCTCCCTCAACAGCTACTTTTTTTTTCATTCTGTCTGGGAAGGCCGTTTTCTACTCCCTAGAGAAACCAGTCGGCACAACCAGGCTGAAAGGAGTTGGCCCTTGGACTCGATAGATGAAGGCTGCGTACCGTCCATCATCTCCTGACGACGACAAGTGGCTTCTTTGGCTCTGGTCGACGGTGGTTTGGGGGCCTATGACCCACCGCTCGCTCAGTCACAGTGTGTTCAGGAAACCAGTGTTACAATAAACGCTGCTTGGGCCGGTATCATTGTCAGGTACAGCATTATCACTGGTACTCGATGCAGCCAGCGAACGACATTAGGTCTTTACATCGTAGGCATCGGGCCTTTATTGGCTCGGTCCTTTACACGTATAACTTAAACCCCACAACTTCCAAGGGATATATATGTCTTCAGAGCTGGTTCAGAACATACAGTGCAGGTTCATAAAATGCATTGCTAGGAGGACTCTGAGCACCTACAATCTGTCAATTAGGAACCCTGCTCGTTCCCACAAGCAAAAGACCCAGACACACGAGGAGCCCAAGTGTTTCTCCAGATAGAAGAGCTTTAGGGACAAACTGAGCCACCAGGGCCCGTTTTCTCGAACGCGAACCGTGGGTTAAAGTTAACTATTGTCCCTAGAAGAGGGAATTCTAGGTCACATGACTGGGAGAGCAGGGGCACTGAGGGAGGAGCAGTACCTATAAGCAAAATGGCCACGACGTCGCTTAATGTGGGATAATAGTTCTTCTTGGTCCTGCTGAACATTCATTTCGATCCGGCTGTTATATTAATGACGCACCATCAACCTATTAGCACGTCAAGCAAAGCGTAGTTCAGAGGGACTACTAAACTAACCGACGGCAGCATTCCGCAAACGCATCATTCTTCAGCAGTCTGGGATCCAAGACATATGCAGGGGTGGAACTCATGAAATGTACTTGGGTGCAGCCACGGGAGCAGCTGAAACTGCTGTTTTGGAGCAGGCTGGGAGCAGCTAAAACTACATTCTGGAGCAGGCTAGGAGCAGCTCAGATCAGTTTTCATTGCACTTCAGCTTGTGTCTTAGACAAGCACGGGAGCAGTTTAGGAGCAGCTCAGATCAGTTTTCATTGCACTTCAGCTTGTGTCTTAGACAAGCACGGGAGCAGTTTCAATTGTGCTTAGCAGCACAGATGAGTATGAGTGGTTAGGAATTTATGTAGATGGGATAACAGAGTAACAGGTGCAAAAACGTGGCCTTAGTGAAAACCAAAAACCAAAAGTACCATATGTTTCCGAAGACAGTGTCCTTGATATTTTCTGAGTGGCTTTCAGCTGCTCAAAATGCAAACCAGCACTGTTTATAGCACGACCCACACCTGCTCGACATAGTAATTATATGTGCAAACCACGTGACGTGCGTAAGCAATGGACATGCAGTTGCACGGAGGAACAGGGCAACAAATTTTGAGTCTATCCTGTTGTACAACTCAATATCGAAGCATCATACTACGATTAACGGAGTTATCATACTCGAAGCGATGAGCCAGAGCAAGATTAAAGTACGCCGAGGAAATCTACCGCTCGCGTGAGAGCTCCTGGCCGGCAATGATTCGGATCGGACAGCGTTTCAGTTCAATCAAATCCGGATTTATCTTGTAGGAATGTGGTTATAACTTCAAACGATGAAGCACTAAAATGAATCTTTTAGTGCTTCATCGTTAGGGCTGCAGACCCTCAGGCTATCTGACGCTTAACGACTCGACCTCACCTTGGCCGACTTGCTTAACCACTTATGGTTGAAGAATAACAATCCAATCGCAGGTGGTGTAGCGCTTGGAATCCGACCCCCGAGTTTTTTCGCGTGATTTTGACTCGGGATACACAGGGAAAATAAACGGAGCAAAAAATTGCAAGGCCGACCAAGCTAAACGCGCTCATTGTTGTCATTCGAGTCGACAAAAACCGAAACCAAGACAAAATAGAACTATTTTGGCGCACGTTGTGCGATTTGGAGCACAATGGCGCGAAGTATTGGCTGTGGCGCAGTTTCCGCAAAATGGTGCAGGATGGCGCAGACAAATGTGTCTGGCGCAAAATGGCGCAGATGGCGCAGCCGTTCCACCTCTGCATATGACGGTACATAAGCCTTCCAAGTGTTTTTATGGTGAGTAAAAAAATGTTTTGCGAACGAGTGTTAGTATATATTTATACTAACACATTTAACTTGTTATACTATGCATGCCAACTCGTGAGCAGCGATTACTTTGCGAACAAAGGGGGTTATCCTCGATAAAGTCTTCGTTCCGGGTGAACAGGTGCTACATTGTACTGTTGTTTTTTTTTGTTCGCAGTGCGCCGACAGTATGTTGACAGCATCGAGGTTTCCACATATCCCCGGTGGCCAGCAATTCAACGGTGACGAGAAGCTTAGCTCTTCGTCACCGGTGGATCAGTTGGGCAAAAGGAAAATGGGGCAAACAGTTGAGATCAGCAGGAATCGCAGAAACGTGCGTCACAAGGAACAAAACGAGACTACAGCACCGGCGTTGCCAGACTGGAAGGCACATGGGAAAGTTATGCGTTGTTTATGGCGAAACATATTGAAGGAAATGTTTCTTACATTTTCAAATATTCGTCGGCAAACTCTAGCATAGTAGCTAAAATTTCTTCGTACCATCTGAAGCAAATAAATTGGTCTTCAAGTACAACATTACTATATTTTGACTTAAAATACCATACTAGATCGATAACAACCAGCGGATGAAGAGGATAAACAAAATGACTGGCTTGTTTCACCGATAGATGGCGCATCTTACTGCCCAATCAAAAATGATTATTGTTGTTCTATATCCAGCCGTTTATTACAGTACCTAGGTACTTTTTCCTTCCTAGGCACCGTGGTTTACCAAAATGGGTTTACCACTGCTTCGAGAAAACCGGCCCTGAAGTGCTCTCTCAGCTGCACCAGTGGACTAAGTGCATTGGTCGAGAAGCCTCATAGAGAAGCCCAGAAAGATGCCCACACTAAACTCAAATTTGATCAAATGCTTGTAAAGGCTTGGCAGGTTTTCCAGCATTTGAACATACAGCATTGATGGCAAGCACTATCTTACTGACAAAAGTTTCTCTCTGGGTGTTGGAGCCACATCGCCCGGCTTCCAAGTCATTTTCTTCATCCGCATCACAAGATGTGGTTCTTCGTGCTAGTGCCAGAATTCTTTGTGTCAGCATTCTTAAGAACCCAGCAAGATTAATCTCTTCAATAAAAAATCTGAATGTGACGACAGTGGTTACTATGTCTGCTTTATTACTGATAGATAGTGGAAGGCCCCTGAGAAGACAATCCGGGACCCAAGGGGTAGTGAACTCTGCAGTTTCAAATACATTGTTTGGAAGGAATAAGGTTCAATCGTGAAAGATTCTGCTAGTAGTAAGCCCAGGACCAAAGACGTCACATATCGCGCGCTTTCGGTACCGCGGGTCGCCTTTGACGGTGGAGGTTTCCGTAAAATATGACGCACTGATATTTAGTTACTCTCTTCGTGCTCGCTGGCTTGCCCGAACCCCAAGAGACGTGGAAACGGAAAAAAAGGTAGATGCTTAAATATGATTGCAGGGCCCCTTTAAGATAAACTTTTTATGAATTCCCCCCCTAAACTAGGGGCATCTCAACAATGGCATCGATACCACTCCATCCTTGCGAGGAGATAGGCTCTATTCACACCTCCAAAGCGGTGTGAATAGAGAAAGAGGAAAAACAATACTATCGCAGTTCTACCCATATGAAAGAGCTCCGCATTATCACATAACCTCCACTCACTAAGTAGATAACACCGAGACGACAAAAAAGAGGGTCGCTGCCACTAGAGAGGGCAATTAAAAGACGCCTGTCAAAAGAGGCCGCATGGGAAACGTGGTCAGCGAACGAGGATTAATACAAACTTACTCGCTTCAACTGGCTGCTACGGTCTGTGTATGGTGATAGGTTCGTCTACTTTTCTAGATGTGTAAAATGGCTTATTTTGACTGTAATTTGACATGTCAAAACAAATATTGTAAAGAAACAAGTAAAAAGAAATAGCAATAAAATGCATGGAAAAAAGTATCATGGAGTGGATGGGGAAAATGTGACACTCAACCCGATATTCTGGACCTGTCTACAAGTCTCCAATAACAATGGTATAGGCTGAAAAGCTTTAGCGGACTAAAGTCACCCCTAAAAGCAGTCGGAACAAGCAAGAATAAAAATCTTAAATTAGTCACAAAAAAAAAAGGATATAATGCATTATGATTATAAAATGGGCCAGTCGACAGGAGCTCAGGTCAAAGAGTTTGCACCAATCCGCAAAGAGCATTGTTGAGCAATCTATTAGCTCACTCTACCAGGTGTATACACGTGTCTATACATTGGCAATCAGTTTTATGTGGTGTTAGTTTTTTTGGAAACGAAAGAACTTAACTTTTAACAACAAATGTACACAGAGCTATTGACTGGGTCATCCTTAGGGTACCAAACAAGAATAAACAAACAAGACAAGAGATAACCTGTGCCCCTCTTTCATGAATGAGGTGCCTGTGTCCTCCTGTGCCATTTACATCCCCTTCAGTTCGTCTGACATCTTTAGATAAATTTATGTTTCTGCCATGTAACATAATTATCTCTTATATTGTGTGCATAATTTATAAAATACTCATAAGACAGCTCGTAGCCTTTATGGTATTTAATTTTTGTTTAGTCAAGTCTACATTACCTAGATGGTGCCACCGACCATCATGTCCACCCCTGCCCCAGGGTGCAAGGCCCCCGGCTGTGGCCCTTTCAATAAACAGTGTGGCTCTAACTTTCAAGAGACTCGAACGTCTCTTGATCTCAGGCATTGGCGCATTGATCCCGACCCTCTCCCGGCTGCGGCAGTCTTCGGCATGAGATCTTCTTTGCCTTTCTGTCCAGACTTTGAAGCTTGCACATTATTGCGCAGACTTGTGGCAAGCTCCAATTATCTTGTTTACTAGTAACCTTGCGTGACCTGAGCCTTTCGACAGCCACTCTTCGGTTTTTATTAGGTATTTATTAATACATTTTACAAAAAAATATAAAAACATGTTTTTTTCCCGAAGCCCATACTTCTTTTCATTCCCAAAGCCCACAAGCTCTTTGGTAACCTTCATTTGATTAACTAAATAGCGTCTTTTGTTGTCACTACCTAGTTCGATGCGAACAGATGGTACTGCCGAACGAGTACTGTAAAGGTTCGCGGCCCGGTAGCGTCATAAAGACACGCGCTAGCGCACTTCCGCTCTCAAGCAACGTTGCACCAAGTGACGAAAATAAACAAAAACGCGGATTTCGTCGCTCGCTCACCGATGATATGGCGCTTGTTTTCTAGCAGCTCGTAGTAACTGGACGCGATGATGTTCGCCGGCGAGTTTGGCTTGAACCTCCCCGAGTTGACGACTCGCTCGCAGTTCCGCATCAGCGCCGTCGAAAACAACGACGGGTCCACGCCGTACGTTCTCCATCCACCGACGCCATCCGCAACCCCTGCACCGAAGAAGCAACGCGGTGTGAAGACGGTCGCGCTTCGCGACAGAACCTCAGCACGATTTGCATTTCTCGCCGTGACCCGAACCATTTGCAGCATCGGTTACTATGCGGAGAAGTAGGGGCACTTCAACCCGTCGACTCTGACACACTTTGAAGTTGGAAACGTCATAGACGCGGAGACGTCCTAGGAGGTGCGAAGATGTCCTAGAAGTGATAGAAACAGCGCTGAGACGTCCCCAAGACAGCGCGGAGATTCTGGTTTAAGATAGAGAGTTTAGGCCTAGGCTGCTTACCTAGGACGTCGAAGGACTTGTATTTAGCGGCGAAGCAGGCGTCATCGCCGAAGCGTCCCCGGCCGAGTCCGATCGAGAAGCGATTCCGTTCTTTGGGAAAACCACAGGTAGCCGTCTGAAGGCCCAGGTCGCCCTTGGTCCACGCATACCTGGCGTCGCTCGTCGAGGTGCATGTTGTGTAACTAAAGACGCTGTTGGCGAGGGCGCGCGTCAACAGACGTCCATACATGAGTACGGACTGCATGGCAGTGCTTGAGACTGGTCCGCACTACATGATCGGCAATCGGGGCTCGTAAAACTGCCGCGGATCTCGAATTTAAAGATAAACAGCGACCTTATACAAACACTAAACCATGCTCGATAAAAACAGCGCCCCTGGGCGACCTTCACTTTCTATGGTTACACAGTGGTCAGACTGAACGACGTGGGGGAGCAAACGCGCGTCAAAACAAGCCGTCGTGGCACAGCACGGCGTTTGTTTGAAACCTTTCAAACCCTAAAGAAAATAGTGCTTTGCTAATTTATAATAAAAAATATCATATTTACGCAAAAGATACCGTTTATCAACGTCCTCAAACAAAATAAAAAAATGATTCCGGATTTCGCCCACATTTCAATCCAATCCAATCTCATCCGATCGGAATAACTTCTTTTCATCTTTATTTTTGTATTTTTATCATTCGGCTTCGTGTTCTTCGCACGCGAGCGATGCTGTGAACACAGCAGCAGGGGCCAGCTCGCGGCGTTCTTTTTTTCCTCGTGTAGTACTCTACCTGCGTGTCCCCTTTCCCGTGGCACTCCTCGTCCCGGGCTTGTCTAATGTTCGAAAGGTGCAAACCCGTGTTAGGCGACGACAGCCCCTGCTTTCCGGCCTTTTAAAACAAGATCCCCGAACGCCACAACCGTCCATCCCCGCTTGCGCTCCAGACCAGCCCCCCACATCACAACCACCCCATTATGTTTGCCTCCTCGGCCGTGCCCCTCTTCCTCGCGCTATGTATCCTTCACCTGTGCGACTCTACCCACAGCCTAGGCGACGTGATTTACGCAATTAATGCGGGCGGCGAAGAGCATGTGGATGTGCACGGGATCCACTACAAGCGGGACCCCCTGTTCGGCAAGACCGGCACGGCGTCGGACTACGGCAAGCTTCTAGTCATTGGCCGAGTGCCGAAGAGTGACCACATTCTCTACCAAACGGAACGCTACCACACGGCCACCTTCGGCTACGACATTCCCGTGAACAAGGACGGAAACTACGTGCTCGTTCTCAAATTTAGCGAAGTGTACTTCGACTCGCCCGGCAGAAAGGTGAGATCACAGTGGGTGAGATCGCCATCGAACGCAGAAAGCCTCCCCAAAAGAATTCATTGCAGACGTACAGTATACCTCTCTCGGTGCTTCATTTTCAAAAATTTTTTTAATGTCGAAGTACATAACGTTGGTAAGAAAAAAAAAAAATTATAAATGTCCGGCGTTTCGGCCTTTCATGCGTGATCCCGCTATCATATAGCAGAGGAATGCTATTCTGTTTTACCTCGTATTCCTCGCTCGCAAAATGAGGCTACGGCGCTCTAATTCTGATTCCTTGTTTTAGTCCAGCCGGTTTTCTCTTAACGCAATTATACGCAATCGTGGCAAATGGAGAGCGCTGAAACTACGCTCAATTTTTTATTGTTTCGCCGGCAGTGTTACTGCTTCGACCACCTGCCGTATTCGTGGTTATATTCTGGCCTTTACCCTTCTCAATCAAAGACGTGGCAAAAAAAAAAGAATTCGAGTATTGCGTGACGTGGAAACTCTTCCGGTTTTTTAACTTCAGAGCCGGCAACAGCTGGCGTGTCAAGGGTCGTGCTGTGGAAACCGCCGATTGTTTGCCTTCATGTTTCGGCGTTTCTTAATTTTTATGCTGTTTCTAGCAGGAATGCTTCTAACACGCATATATAAGTATATACTATATATGTGTGTGTGTGTTTTATTCTATTAGTACATATTTACAGAAGCCATCTGTTCCCTTACATAGCTAGAGCAGGAGTTCTCAAACTGTGTTCCTGGCTACTGGGGATTTCACAGAATAATTAAACCTCAGTGGTTCCTCGAACTCCCAGATTTGCAGTCCTTACCCCCCAAGAAGTGTTCTTTTGGATGAAGCGCTATTTAGATGATCTCAGTCTGCTATACTGGTGCATAACTATTTGCTGAACGCTCCCTTGTATGTGCACCACTGTTTATAAGGTCTGCAGCCTTCCGTGCCACATTATTCAAAGCGCAAGTTTGTCTACTTCTTGCGCAGGGGAGGGTTGTGGGGACGTTAGAACGCCGCACTCTGATTGGCTCTGACTGGAAGGACAGTGGGTAGACCTCAATGCTAGCTGCCTTGAGGTCTACCTACTATCCTTCAATTGGAGCTCAGCGTTCTGACATCACCACAACCCCTGCACATGAAACAGACAAACTTGCGCTTGGCATTTCATCAATGCCAAGACCAGGAGAGATTTCTCTGCTATCAATCCGGAGAGACTGGCGTTCCTCGAGATCGAAAAGTTTGACGACCCCTGACATAGAACATGCTGTTTCCACAACACGAGAAAACCTAACACTTGAAATTATAGTAGTGGGCAGATTAAAAACCCGAGACAAAGGATGACACGAAGTACAGCCCCCGCCATTTTGACGTGTTACAATGGCAACGTGGGCAGAGGGGTTGAAAAGTAAATAAGGTAGAGGGTGGGGAGAGGACGTGGCAATTTGAGGCAATTATGAGCTGAATTGAACAAAACAGTTTCTTTTCTGGTACTGCCGGAGTAGAAATGATGACACCGAGCTCTGGACAGCTACCGCCATCTATGAGCGACGGCGGCAACCAGTTGTCTGGTTGCTGCCTTCGCTTGTAGATGGCAGCAACCTTTCTTCGGAGGAAGAAGAGCGGAACGAGCGGGGATGTGCGCAGCAGCGCAATTGCTTCCGCTACCGCCGCGAAGCTGCTATTGCCTAAAGTTTCACTGCGTCGAGCACTTCAGATTCCCTTGTGAAAGAAGAGCAGATTGCACGCCTGGAAAGCCACCGCCGAGAACAGAAGCTACAGCTCCACTGCTTTTCCTTCTTCACCAAAAAAAAAGACTGCAAGTTTTTTTTTATTTTTTTTTTATATTTTATATTATAGCTATTTACATGTTCGACATAAAAAAATGAAGTGATTTTGGCTCTTTCGTCAGAAAGACAGTCAAAATTCATTGCACAGTGGACACTACAGGACTCACAGAAGGAGCGCACGTGATGAAAAAGACAGCCAGTTTAGCATATGTTTGCACCCAACCCGTTCTCTCTCTGAAAAAAATTGATTGTCCCTCATTCCCAGCACAGGAAAACTAATGCAGCGCTGCATGCGGCAAATTTTCCTTGTGGTCACTTGCTCGGCCGTTGTTGCAATTCAAGAGCGCCCTCACTGTACCTTGATTTTTCTTGTTTACTGCAGTATTGTGCGTGACTAGCTGTGTCCCCGCACTTTTACAACGAGCGTTACGGCTTTGTAATCTGTTACTGCGCATTAACTCCACTTTGTGGTGTTACACCGGCTATGCCGCTGGCTAGGATAAAGGAGGCACCCTGTTGATTGGATGAATCGATTCGAATTGGGTGGTGGCTTGCTTCTTGTATAGCTAGTATTTTTAATTTCAATACCAAGATTTGTTTAACAACAATTTAAAATCGAGCTTCTTACTGGTTCTATTTCATATAGAAGGTTTGCTACAAGGATCTATATTAATCATAGAAGGTGCGCTATGTTAATACTGACTTGTATTATTTGTACCAGCCACCTTGCAACGACTCTCATCTAGTTTGAGCGTGCCTTGCTGTTTAAGACGGGTCGAGGATCCACTAAAGACGACTTTATTCGCAGGCCTTGGCTTCTAGGTGGTATTGGCTTGACAAAAAACACGCATTCGGTGATGCCGTGCATTTTTAACAATTTCACGTCATTTTCATAAGAGCAGAGCGTGATTATGCGCATATGACGAGCTAGCACATTCTCACTGAGCGCATTCCCGCACCTCGTAACAACACGAATCACTCAAAGCCGATATGCAGTGCCCCATGTCGTCTCGGCCACACTCTCGGAGTCCGGTTTTCTGGAATTCTCGCATTCGTAAAGCACCTTCAAAGCTATGTGGCACTTTGGCTACACTACTGTGCAAGCCTGTGACCAGATGAGGAAAAAATACAGCTTTCAGAAAGGTTCTTGTGCAGGCTAGACCACGTGTTGGTAATACCCACCCATTCTAAAGTCCCCAGTTACGTCAGTCTGATATGCGAAACACTCTGCCTAGATGGGAGACCCCTTGGTAATAGGGCCGAGTTTACCTCATACGCATCTCCCTGACCAAAGCAAAAGGCCGTGAGCATGGGCTCATAGTTCTCCAAGGAGCTCCCACCTCCCCAGGCACGCTCTTGGGTGAACCTCCCAAAACTCTCGGCTCGTGCTCGCATCACTTGCGAATAGTGAGCGAGCCAGAGGTGACCCGGATGTGTGGCGTGGAGCGTGGAACACGAGTAAAAGAATGCAGTGTGAAATTTCTCCCCTTTTCTCTCCGCCGACAACAGGTGTTTGACGTCACCCTCAATGGACAACATGCAGTAATCACTGGTCTGGACATTTACAACAGAGTTGGCAGGGGAGTGGCGCATGACGAAAGAATTCCGTTTGTCATCAAGGGAAACAAGCTGTTTGTTGGCAACGACGAGTCCACGCACGACGGCAAGATCAAGGTGGAGTTCATCAAGGTACGTTCTCGGGCCTAAACGTCTCTCGGTATCTCCTGCTTTTTGCATTGATGCCTCCTTGAGGAACCCACTCTGCCAATAGCTCGTATGCCCCGGCTAAAGTACCTTACTATGGCGTGCCTTATTATTGCGTGTCATATTATAGTGTATCATACTATAGCATTATCATATCATACTATAGCACGGTGGTTCTCAACCATTGATGTTTTGTGGACCCCTTGTGGGTCGGTGGGGGTGGTGGAGGGCCCCGTCTGTGGTAAGGGGAATTGTATGATTATTCATGATAACGATTTAATATTAAAATAGCGCAAAAGAGACGGGACAAAAAGACGAAGAAGCACACAGGAAAAACGCTAGCGTTTGTCCTGTGTGCTTCTTCGTCTTTTTGTCCCGTCTCTTTTGCGCTATTTTAATATGAATGTCCACTACCAACTTGCCCAGCAGACCAAGCTTTTACAACGATTTAATAAATGAATATAACTAAGGGCTAGTGCAAAATTGACTTCTCTCATCGACGTACGCATGACGAAACTCACCCGAAAATTGGAATGTTTCTTCTTAATCTAAAAAAAAAAAAAAGAACTTTTATTTTCGGATTTGACTGATGTGACAGGGCTTCGCGGACCCCTAGAATATGCCTTTGCGAACCCCAAAGGGTCCGCAGACCCCCATTTGATAACCACTGCTATAGCATATCATACTATAGTGTGTCATTGCTTGCAGTTTGAATGTTAACTGACAGAGATTCTACCACAGTGGCGGTCAATGCTTCGTGTTTTAGAAGCTATCAAAAGAATATTTGTAACTTGTCGAAAGAAAGCCTTGCCGTTGTTGGTGCTGACTTTTTAATTAAGATGTTTTGAATACATCTGAATTGCTGTAAAGCAATTTTCTTAAAAATTACTGTCTTGTTTGTATGATTTATATGTATGGATCGATATTGCTAAATTTAATAGAACACAAATGCCCAGACCCAGGAGCTCTTTTGCTGAAGTAACACTGGCACTTACAATGTTTCTATTCCAGGGCTACAGGGACAACCCCAAAATCAATGCCATCTATGTGATCAGGGGAACAGAAAAGGGTAAGTCTTAATCAGGACCTTTCTTTGCATAGCCCTTCTGTTCCTGCTGTGTGGTAGTTCCCAAACTTCCCAACCTCGGGGAGCCTCGAGCTAAACAACTTCTCGACATTTCAACAGTAATTTGATTCTGAAGCTTGCAAACTTTGGTAATGGTGAACATATTTTGAGAGGAAGGTGGGAGTCTGGCTGGTAATGAAGAGTTCAGCTGTTCCCAAGTTGTATTCACACTGAAAAAATACTTGAAGGAGTAAAGACAGCCAAGGAGATCCAAGTTCTTAAAGCAGCCCTATAGGGTGCTTTGGAGATAACAGTTTGTATGGAAAGGGATGACGTAGGTCTTGAGCACAGACCTTGCACTTCCCATACAGGCAAACATTTGCTGTAGGTGCAATGAATGAAACAAACATACAATGCCACTAGTAATTTTCAGCAGCAGAAAACAATTAAAATTGTTAATGGAGAGTTTGGCTGCAGCTGTGTGAAAACTGGCAGCACTTGTGGAAACAACATGAGGTATGAGTCTGCATTTGTAATTCTCTATGCAGTCGTTAACTACAAGTGGCAATGCTCCGAGTTTTAGATTTTTCACTTTCGTGGATGACTTTTACCATTTTTTTCGGTCAGCAAGTAGGCACATCATTTTTATAACTCTGGCTATAACGTGTCTTGGTCAAGGGCAACAGAACAGCAAGTTCAGTTGTTTTATTCTAACAATTACAATTTGAAATTCTGCATTAACTCCGATTTGGCCTTGAGAAAAGTGAGTGAAGTGTTATCTGCTGCCAAACAATTGTAAAAAATGAAAAAAAAAAAAATCCAGCAACAAAGAAACAACAAAAAGAAAATGGAAGAAACGGGGCATGATTCCAAGATTCTCGGAGAAGGCTCCACCAGCTACATAAATTTCAAAAACAAAATGAAGAATGATAGAAAAATGTTTGTGCACAGTGTCACGTGTCTGGAAGTCTGAGTCTAGAGTTAGCATCCACTGCATTCCTCTTAAAATGCATTTGGGCATATGACAGTTTGATCGATCGATCGAAATAAAGTTGCAAATATTTGATATCCACTTTAATAAAAAAAAAACTGCCGTGCAAAACTTTTTTTTTTTTCATTGGTACATGAGATTTATTTGTCCAACACGTGTTGCTCCACCAAAACCAAATAATCTAATCCGAATAATTTTACCGCCTGAACAATAAGACAATAAACGGGGCATTCTTCGGAACGGGCATCGGTTACGTACAGAGTGTATAAGAGGTGTATTTATGGAAAATTACTAGCACCAGGTGAATCCGCTTTGCATTGTGGAAGCTGAAACTCTGCTCAAAGGTAGTACGGCACTTTAAATGAGATCTGAAAGTTCTGGAATGTGATATTACCCGAGTGAGAGTCTGAAATTATCTGAGCATCTGCCGTGTCAAGCAGATTGCCCACTTGACTTTGCCCCCCCCCCCCCCCCCCCCCCTCCCCCCCACCCAAGAGTTCCACAAATGTAATCCTCTTGTCAATGTACTTTTGAATAATTTTAACCTCAAACTTTTGATGTAGGTCACAGCCTCTTATTACCTTTGCCATAGTCACTGATAGGATGAGAACAGCAGGGAGGAGCTTCAGTTGTCCCGCTTCCAGTATGAGCTTCTCACTTTTAATATTGTTTTGGCGTCTCAAAAACCTCAGGCATGCACGCACAGCCAAAGCACGGTAAAAGGCAACAAGTGTGGGCTGGAGGCTGGATGTTGGAAAGAAACACCCTGTCATTCTTATCCTGTCAGTGACTGTAGGATGCCACCTTCAGGCAGAGTTTTGACTCTGCATTGCCCAATTCATCACAATCGGCACAAACAAACACTGTGTTGACAGATCTCCCGCCAGACCTGCCACCGATTGAGGAGGCGGAGGAGGAGCAGGAGGAGGAGCTGGAGACGGACGTCCCTGTGGAGGCCCCCAGGACCCCGCAGCAGCCGAGGAGGCCTTCGGGACCCCGCTCTCCGAACCCCTACACGAGCGACGACAGCAGTGCCCTGCTGCCCATCTTCGTGGCCATTGGCGCTTTCATCCCCCTGCTCTTCTGCCTCTGCAAACTCTGAACTGTAAACTCTGGAACTTCACGGGCTGCCCACAAAGTGCCGGGGCTGCATCCATGGACTGTGGCATAAACCTAGCTTGGCTGGTGTTGCGCTTGTTGAGCCTAACTAGGCCTAGTTGGTCTTGGTTAGGCTTAATTATACCTAGCTGTGCTTGATTAGGCTTAATGAAACCTAGCTGCTGTTGGTTAGGCCTAATTAGGCATAGCTGGGCTTGGTTAAGCCTATGTAAACCCAACTGGGCTTAGTTAGGCTGGGTTAGACCCAACTTTGATGGGTTGAACCTCTGGGGCGTACATTCATACCTGGTTCAGATATAGTTGCGTTGGTTGGGTTCAGAGTGACATAAACGGCAGCAATGACAGAATCAACAGGGCAAATGTTTCCTGCACAGAATGTGACAAGCAATGCAAGCAGTAGCTTTGTAAAGCTATCACGGTTGTCTTGGTGTCTCTGCCGTTGCTCGTTTTGGTTGGTGTGGACGCAACCGACAACAATGTCTGAACAGCCTTCAGAAAAGCGTGGGGTTTCTGGCATGCGACGAAAATTGCCATATGCAACATTGGGAGCGAGAATTCACTTAAGGAGTATCTCTGATTGTGAACATACTTATATTTTATTGATTTGTTTAAAAATGCTGAATATATAACAGTTTTTGAGGACCATTGCTTGGATTAGTGTCAATAGTTTGACGTTACAGCGCGAGGAACTATTATCTAATGGATGTAATGAGGTAGGATTGGCTAACACATCACGCAGATTTTTCAGCCAATCATTATCGAGACAGGTTTCTTGGTCCCCTTTTTCCATCTTTAAAAACCATGTTTTTAAAGAACATTTCAGCTTTATACCGCAATCAGAGAAATGTTCCGGTGACTGAAATTGTGGTACTCTTATGGAAGCAATTGTTGTGTGACCCCACACTTTTCCGAATACGACATTCTGTTACACTTTGTCAGTTTTGACTCATTTTGGCCTGATTTAGGTGAGCTGGGCAGTCTTGTGTGCCGGCCTTATGCCAATATGATGCGCAAATGAGTGTGTGGGAGAAGCAAGAAGGCCTGTGTTTTGAGTAGCGCTTAATTGTATGGTGCACTCTTTGAATGTCTAGCTGTCACGATGCCACATTGTGTACAAGTTTGGGGTGTTCACTTGTTCCATCAGGCTTTTCTTTTTCGAGGGGGAGGGGGCGAAGGTTTGTCTCGACATAGTTGGTTTAGGTTGATGCATGCATGTGTGTGTGTCTGGTGTGTGTTAGAAGACAACTCTGACATTGTTCTTGTTTTTTTTTCTTATATTTTGGGTTGTTTGTATTTGGTGAGCACATTTTTCATTACTATTTTTCTGCTTCGTTCACATGTAGGTAGGTTGGTTTACACAACCATGTTGCTGGGTAGCTTTTTTTTTTAATACCTAATCTATCCAGATTTTTTTTTTTTCATTCATGGAAGTGTTTTTTGGGTATTAACGGGTTAAAGCACTTGTCCCTATTTCTGTATGTTTAATTCTTGGTTGTAAATAGAAAGAAACTAGGGATGCAGAAGAAACTGCACTTTGCAAATAGTACTACACATTTCTTCTTTGCTACAGGCCATCACTCTGACACTCTTCCCTGGCTGTGCTTGGAAAGGGAGTGGTTTCTGAAATTCGTCTAAAGGCATTCATTTCACCCTTATCTTTGAGATGAGACTGGTATGGGTTAACATTTTATATAGTCACTGCTTCAGTCCAGTTTCTGTTAAAACAGAAACTAACCTCAGTCTGCAAGCACCAGAGTCTCCTGATCTTATTAGTACTAATCAAGTATTATTTACCTACACTCTTTCATTGTGACATTGCCACCCTTGATGCGGTAATCATACCTTACTGCCCACGTAATTGCTTTTCTCCTGGTGAATGTCTAGCTCCTACAAATTTGTTTCAATCTGCTTGGCAGAAAATCATTTTTTTTTAATGTATAAAAAAGTTGACACTAACATTTTTATTTTACCCCATTTTTCATGGTTGTGTGTGTTCAAAACATGCATTACATTATCTGGAGTGAAAGGGATACTTTCTGAACGCTGTTCCTCGTACAAATGTTGCTGGGCTCCCCTGTGCATACAAAACGCTGCATTTCCATTCTCCATGCTACCTTCAATTCGTCAATATGCTTTCCTAAACGACACGCTCGCTCGGACATCACGTAAGTCATCGTTGTGATTGCCCCATCTGTTTGAGTTCAGCTCAGCAGATGCCGACCATTGCTACTGCATGTTGTCAGTGGCATATAATATATGAGATAGTGACTTGCATTTTATCTTTTAAATGCAATAACCAAGTTTCCAGGCCATGTGAAGACAGTGTGCTATATAATAGTACCATCTAGATTGCTTTTGCAGTTTATTTATTTCAGTACAATTTCCAGGGGTTGCAAAAAAATTGATGCAGCATACAGTCAGGATTAAATATGTTTTTTTTTATGAAATCGGTATGTGATATGTGTACTTCAGTACGGAGTGGCTCAACAGTATCTGCATTTTTAGAAATAAAAAAAAAAAAAATCTGAACATGAATTGATTTGCTTGCGTCGAAATCTTTGTCCCATTTTTAAGGTACAAAACCTCATGTGTTCTGCTGTACTTATGGAATGCTTCAGTTCTTTATGTTAAGCAGGTTTAGAAAAAGGGGAAGAATATGTTTATTCAAACAAAATGTTTATACTTCTACTTTAGTGCGAGTGCAGCAGAAGCTACCAGTGCAAGCTCAAGGGCTTTCCTTGTCCCTGCCAAGTATGTGTGCTTGTTCAGTGCCAGCATTGTTCAGAGCAACATGCTTGTGCTTGTAGCATCGACTTTGCTCGCATATAAAAACTATAGTCGGAGCCTTTGGCTTTTGAGGGCACCAAGCTCAATTGGCCACTTGATCAAACCAAGTCCTTATTATCTTAAAATTGGCTTGAAAGATGCAGAAATTTTTTTCTAATTCCTAGTTTACTACTGCTAGAATGCCAAAAGCCCTAGCTATAATCAAAATCGGGTTAAGAATGCAGTGGGTGCTCTGCCTCAAGTGCAGGCTATCTAACTTTGATAGCACTTTGTCGCGTGTGCAGCCAAAGCCTTACAGAAGCCATGTGCCGGACATTGACCAGTGTTGGATAAAGTACATATGTAAAGAGTACTTGAAGTAAAGCACAAAGTAAAATAGAGCTCATGTAATTCAAGTTAAGTACTACACTGAGTGCAATGTACTTGAAGTAAAGTACTATGAATACAACATACTTTCAATTAGTACAAGTACTTTTTAACAATCTTTCATGATGCCCTTCTATTCCTCTTTAGTGTTGTTTCGTTTTTTTTAAAACGGGAATGCATTGCCTTATGGGCGCTTGGGGGTGCATCAGTTATTCGTGGAAATGGTGGCGAATGTATTGGGTAAAGTCAGGTGGCCACAAAGTAGTTGTTTTACTCTCGCTGACAAACTATTTAACACAATCAACTTATAAGGCACCTATTTGTATCGGTCTTATAGCCGCCATTACTTCATTCGAGAGAAATGACCAGATGACGTCTTGAAAGACGATAGCACATATTCGCATAGCGATATGCCATTTTTTTATTTAAAATTTGGAGAATGTACTTAAAGTCGGAAGCTATACTTTCCTCGGAAAGTATAAAAAAAAAGTACTTTAAGTAAAGTATGAGTACATACTCGGAGAGTGTACTTCAAGTGAAGTACAAGTTTTCTAAACCTAGTTGGAAGTAGTACTTTAAGGTACTGGTGCTGGGGTGGACCATATACCGAGTTCTTGACATGTTGCTGACTAGAGCTGTAAAGTCCTTCTGATAAAACATTGTCTCAATGTTCTCACACTTCATTAGCAAAGCAGTTAAGCAAAAAAAAAAGTAGCGTGCATTTGTCTCGTGCGTCTTTTTTCTTGTAGTCGTTTTTTGCACACTTCTATCATATTCAATGCAATACCATCTCGCCAAACTTTTTACCTTTTGCAACTAATATGAACTTGCTCTTGTATGTTTGTGTCACTTCTTGTCAATTGATAAAGTGTGTTTTGACTCAACAAATCAGAATGTGGGGCAAAATGAATGATCCCAAGTGCGTTTATTGATACTTTAGCTAGATTACTGCTTTAAAATATAAGTGAGCTAACTTTCAATAACATTTTTAGTATACTAATCAAACTTTCTCATTATGTATATGTTAGCTAACAACAAACATAGAACCCTCCTACCTAAAACTGCGATATCTCCACTATACTTTGCTTCACCTCAATAGAGCAAGAGCAGGGCAATGCTGTGTGGTGAGCAAGTCGTCTGCTTCTTGCGCAGGAGTTCCAATGATGTCAGAATGACACCAAGCTCTGATTGGCTTTGATTGAATGGATAGTGGGTACACCTCAATGCTATATGCTTTGAGGTCTACCCATTATCTTTAATCAGCCAATAAGAGCTCGGCGTTCTGACGTCATTGCAGCCCCTGTGCATGAAGCAGACGAACTTGAGCTCCGCATTGTGTAAGAATGTTCCCTAATAGTGCAGGAGCTTCTTTGTCGCAGTGTCATGTGAAGAATAAAAGCGCTCTAGTACTTCTTTCATGCCCTCCTTTGCAAAACTTGATGACGTCACCAAGAAGTGACTAGTCTAATGCGGCTTGCGTGAAGACTTCACTTGGGCACGTGACAACCAACGCCTCGGCGAACAATCTGGCTCGTGTATAATCGCTGCGGGGATGAGAGGAGCCAAACTTGAAGTATGCTTGAGCGATCAGCACATGTTCTGTGCTTTGCCAACCACTGGTGGCATATAATCAGCACCAGATCACGTGGACACTTGTTCTGGCTGCCAGTTGGAAAGGGTGGATGTTGCTAGTCTCCTCCAGTTTTTTCTACAATTTACCATTGCACGAAGAGAAAAACTAATAAAATGGCTAAGTGGGCTAGTTGGTAGTTGTTTATGTAAAAAAGCGCCTAAAAAATATGTGGACACGAGAAAGAAGGAACAGGATTCTTACAACTGAACGTTTATTGAAAGCATGCTCACTATTTATACACACAGTCAGGCCCCCGACAGAAAGAACAAACTCTCAGTTAAGTGCACCAATGGTGCACTTATGCAGTTATTCTCGCCCTTTACTCTTATGCGGTAGTCTTCAAATAATTCTGATGAAATTGGGAGGTGTAAAATGTTAAGGCACGTGAGCATGCCCTATCTGTCAGGAGCTCCCCATCGGGCAATCTTGCCATTTATTGTGATAGGTGCCCCTTTGCGCCTAATCTTGAAGATACGAGAATTGTTGGAAAATTAAAAAATAATGCCTGATGCGTACGAGTGAAGGGCAAGGATAGCTGTGTAAGTGCACCGTCTGTGTGCCTAACTGAGAAGGAGTTAGCTTTTTTGTGTAAGAGTGTGACTGCATGTATAAATAGCGAGTTTGTTTTCTATAAAGGTGCAGTTGTAAGTAGCGCTTGGTCCTGTTCCTTCTTTCTCGTGACCACATATTTTTTACACGCTTTTTCACATTAAGAAAAACGAATGACATGTTTCATGCATTATGAATGTCAAGGATGAATTCTAAGCTTACTAAAAATACAGGAATCGGCGCACTTCTTCTTTAACATATTTACTAAGCTAATACTAAAAGCAGGAGCTCCTTGTGCTTATCCCACCTTGGCTGCACAAACACTTGTGCAGTATGAGCACGAGTCAAGGGTACCCACCTGTGCTTGAATTGCCTTTGTGGTTAGTCTATTGTAGTGGTCTGTGAAAAACGAAGACTGCCTAACCACCCCCTGTCTGGACAGGTGTTCTCCGACGGCCTCGACACTCCCACACGGGCTGAGCCGTTCCTGGCCTGGACCATCAGCGGTCGCCTCCGCCCCGGATTGCCAGTGACACCGCGAGTGCCGGGTCTCTATCATTTTGTCGAAACTCGTTTCGTGGAATTACATTTCGTGGACAACTTTTCATGGACACACGTTTCATGAAAGCACGTTTTGTCGACACTATCGCTTCATCAACACGCGTTACGCGAATTGCACGCTGTAGGGACTAGGCACGTAGCCAGGATTTTGATTTGGGGGGGCGGGGGGCCTTCTCCCCCCTGGATACATGCCTGGTAGGGACATTTTGTCATGTGCATCTGTATCACTAGGGTGCGCGTTAACCCACCGTTCTCGTTATACCACTGCCTGCGTTCACGCCGCTGAGTTGCCGCAGAGACAGACTGCGGCAGCTCAGTACAAAAATGTCAACCCACCTGACCGACCCAAACACGCCGCTTCACCGCGACAGTCTCATGTAGCTTACTACAGAAAAAAAGCTAATCTGAGCTGTCAATGAAACAATTTGTCGATGAAACAATCTGTCAATGAAACATTGCGTGTCGATGAAACAATCTGTCGATGAAACATTGCGTGTCGATGAAACAATCTGTCGTTCGATAGCTGATTGCCACCGGTGAGTGCCCCCTACGGCCGCAATACAACATGGTGACGAGGATGGGATTTTTGCAAAGACGATTGGGTAGGTGGTCACGGTAGAGATCTCCGCACCCCAGTTATGTGGTGGTACGTACCAGTGCGCATTTCCGGTAGGCATTTTGATTTGTGATTTTGGCTTTCTCTTTAGTTTCTGCCAGTCATATTTTCTCTTGACTGGTGACGTGACATTCTGAGAGAGGTTCATCTGGTTTCTCCTAGCATTACAAGCTGTTTTTACTTGGATTTGGCTCGTACGTCGAGATGTCTCAACAAGCACCATTTGTAAATGCGACGGCGATACCTCCACCTCCTGTATTTCTTGCTGTTCCTGGCGCTCTGGTTCAGACTTGGTCATCGTTGAAGGAAGCATTCATGTCGTTTCTCGAGGGTCCCTACCATTTCGTTGAAACTCGTTTTGTGGATTTACGTTTCTTGGACAACTTTTCATCAACACGATTGTTTCATCAACATCATTACGCGAATTGCGTGCCGTAGGGACATTTCGTCACGCGTGTATCACTAAGATGCGCGTTAACCTACCCCCCCGCCCACGTTCGCGGCGGACAGTCTGCGGCGGCTCATTACAAAAATGTTAGCCCACCTGACCAACCCGTACACGCCACTTCACGGCAACAGTCTTATGCAGCTTATTACAGAAAAAAAGCAAATTCGAGCTGTCGATGAAACAATTTGTTGATAAAACAATCTGTTGGTGAAACACCGCGTGTCGTCGTTCAATGAACTGATTGCCACTGGTTTCTTGATGCTACTGGACTCGACGCAGTTGAGCCGCGACGCAAGAAACAGGTCTTGTTTTTGATATTAGGAGTTGAGGGCCAACGCATGGCTTCCGCGTTTTTGTCTAAATGAAGTGTCGGGAAGCAAGATGGTTGATGAGTTCTCCGCGTTTCTGAAAGCGTTGAAGAAACATTTAGAGTTTTCTGGTTCCATAGTGCTGAAACGTAAGAAGTTGCACCCCAGAACACAGTTGCCTGGCAAAACGGTAGCAGAGTTCTTGACTGCCCTGAGGCATCAGGGAGCATTTTGTGTGTATGGCACAACACTTGAAGAATG